AATTTTTGGGGAAAGTGAGATGTCCTCTACTCAGACTAATATACATAGGTCGGCCGGGATAGCCTGGTCGGTAGGGCGCTGGGCCCATATCCAAGAGGTCGTGGGTTCGATCCTCGCCGGCCGAAGACTCCCCGTGTAGTAAATGGTGACTGATGCACGTTAAATCTGTCGAGTCTCAAAGTCCTCCATGTTCCCACAACAAATCAATACCTCTGGGGGCACTGATCCAGGAGTTTCCTTGTCTTCTGGATTGGTTCAAAATTACAAGGCTACGGAGTTGAACGTAAGTAGTCGTAAGCCCATGAAATTGGGTCGGCTGTTCAACGACGGTTATAAAATAAAAATAAAATATACATAGGTCTTCAAAACTAACATAGAAATAAATAAAAGCCTACCTGCAACGTAAATTACAACAATAATAAAATTTAGATTGATCTGAGGAATTAAGAAGTAATTAATCTCGTTATAAGCAAATATTTTTAGTGAAAAAAAAGTTTTACCTATTTAGTTTCCCAGAATATCTTCTTATAACTATTTTAAATTTGTATAAAGAAACAAAATATGTAAAATATTTTAAAAATGAATAGGTTTTTCTCGCTGTCAGCTCAAAATTTTAACAAAATTTTAAATTTTTCATTAAATTTTATCTTGGAAATTAACTTTTCCATATTGTTTCATAATTAATCCCCTCAATAAGNTTATTGCCTTCATAATATAAAAACTAAAACTAGAAACTGATTATCCAAATAGATTTTCAATTTCATTAATTGATTGATTAATGACATAATTAAAGCTTTTTCAAAAATAATATAAAATTATTTAGATATTCCTTAATTTTGCAGAGATATATTTTAACACGTGAAATATTATTTAACATATGAATTTATTAGCATTTATTGTGTTCATTATTTATATGTTCATTATTAGCATTTATTGTGTTCATTAAGAAAATATCAACTCAAGTAATTCTAGAATAAACATCTATTATAAAAGTAATATTTTTAATGCGAATATTTTTTTATAATAACTAAATATAAAAGCATAAATATTAAAATTTATTTTGTCGTGTTTTAAGGGCTCAATCAGTTTTTGCTGTTGTTTTTTAGGTTTCATTTTCGATAGAAATCATTGCCAAAAAATTTAGTCTTTTTTGTGTCATTGTAGATATAGGTTTTTGTACCTTTTAATTTGTTAAAAGAGCATTTACAACTTGCTACAGATAACTGGATTGTCAACGAAATACTTGAACTTAATCCACAAGTTTGGAAAAATGTTTCTTAAGTTGTTCTTACGAATGAACATGATGAGATCGATTGGAAATATATGATCTTATTTTCTTATAATTTTGCGTATTTAAATAATATTATAAAGGTATTTTCCAATCAATGTACGCCATATTCTTTAAAATTATTTTAAAAAATTAAATTGTAGTCGTCGACTACCGTAACTCAAATAATTGTTTTATAAACATTTTTATGCATTTATAAATTTATTCGCTGATTTGACCATTCACTAAAATGCCTTTCAAAGACTCGTCAATAAATAAATTTACTGCTATTTATTGTTACTCCTTGTTAATGCATCTTTCACTAATCCACTTGTAATAATATGTTTATATAGTACACACTATCTTTAAATTAATCATTTAAAATAAACTAAAAACGGTCTCGTATAAAATACAATTACAAAAGAACGGACGGTCATCGTAGTGATAATAAAATATAAAATGATTATTGCTATCAAGTAATTTTTTGGGAAAGTGAGATGTCCTCTACTCAGACTAATATAGGTTTCTAAAACTAACATAGAAATAAATAAAAGCCTACCTGCAACGTAAATTACAACAATAATAAAATTTAGATAGATCTGAGGAATTAAGAAATTATTAATCTCGCTATAAGCAAATATTTTTAGTGAAAAAAAGGTTTTACCTATTTAGTTTCCCAGAATATCTTCTTTTAACTATTTTAAATTTGCATAAAAAAAAATATGTAAAATACTTTAAAAATGAATAGGTTTTTCTCTCTGTCAGCGCAAAATTTTGACAAAATTTAAAATTTTTAATTAAATTTTATCTTGGAAATTAACTTTTCCGTATTGTTTCATAATTAATCCCCCCTCCAAAAAAATCGGGGATTCCCTCAAAAACTTTGCTGAAATTTGGATTGAAAGCTTAAAGTTTTTTCTAAATAAAATATTAAGGTTTGTATTAAAAAATTCATATCATATTAAGAGACCTCAAATATACAGTGCGGTTCAAATATGCAATGCGCATAAAAAAGACTAAATATTGTAAAATAATGAATGACGGATCAAGACATAGCGTTAAAAAATTATTCATGAGCGATTTTTTATTTTTGATTAAAAAGTTAATTAGACAAAAATATGTTCTGATTGCTTACCTAAATACCAGAGTGATGCTTCATTAGAAGGAAAAAATTCCTACCTATTGTCATTAAACTAGCATGACACAATATACAAAATTGAAAAGAATGAATCTAAGACTAAACTAAAAGTGACCTCTTTTTTTTCTCTTTTTTTCCTGCATTACCTCTTTGGGAATATTGGCGAGAAGCTTAAATAAAATGAACATAGAGAACTTTTAATTATAGAAAAAGCTAATCTAAGAATATAGAATCAAAAAACAAATATATATAAATATATTTTTGAAACAAATGATATTCTAAAAAAGGAAATTAATAATTTAGAGTCTCGTTCGGCGCTTCGTAACCTGGGCGACAGCCAATCTTGCCCGCCCCCTCCGCCCGCCCTGATTCAAACCAAGCTCTTTTTGCAAGAAATCTTTAACTAAGAAACCAAGTTCAAAAGCATATTTCATTTTGAATTAAAACTTAAATAAAAAAAAATGTTAGGGACAACGTTCTCTAACATTATTTTTTTTTACTGTTATAACATTGCTATTGCAAATGTCCATATACAGAAAAGATAACCACATTTTGAGATAGAAATGTATGCTGATTTTCATTTTGTTGCTGTTATAAGACTGTTATTGGAAATATCCATATACAGATGAGATAACCCCATTTTGAGATAGAAATGTATGTTGATTTTCATTTTGTTGCTGTTATAACACTGTTATTGAAAATATCCATATACAGATGAGATAACCACATTTTGAGATAAAAATGTATGTTAATTTTCAAATTGTTGTTATAATAACACTGTTACTGAAAATGTCCATATACAGATGAGATAACCCCATTTTGAGATAGAAATGTATGTTGGTTTTCATTTTGTCGCTGTTATGACATTGTTATTAAAAATATCCATATACAGATGAGATAACCCAATTTTGAGATAGAAATGTATGTTGGTTTTCATTTTGTCGCTGTTATGACATTGTTATTGAAAATATCCATATACAGATGAGATAACCCCATTTTGAGATAATGTATGTTGATTTTCATTTTGTTGCTGTAATAACACTGTTATTGTAACTATCCATATACAGATGAGATAACCCCATTTTGAGATGGAAATGTATGTTGATTTTCTTTTTGTTACTGTTATAAAACTGTTATTGAAAACGCCCATATACAGATGATATACCACATATTGAGATAGAAGCGCAAGTTGATTTTCAATTTCAGCTTGGGTTTTCTACTAAGAACTTCAATTTTTAAAATAGGAGAAATAATACTTAAAGTAAGTTCCGATTCCCTCAAGAATATAAGAACACCGAAAGCAACCGGGCATCAAAGAAAGCATCGGAAGCAAACGTATTAAAATCGCTTACGGCTCACTTGTTCCGGAACTTCGACCTAATTAAATAAAAACGAACTTACTTTCAGTACTATATACTATAATCTTATAATATTTACAGCAGTTTTTGAATCACTGAATAATCTCGTTATACGAAGTAATTAAAACCAAGCCTGCATCGAATAATCTAAGTATTTGGATTCTAAAGCTAATTCGATTGTACCTAATAAGTATGGGTACCGGATTGCAAGACCATTCGCGCTATGTTGATACATTTTCCTTGCAATATCCTTTCAGCATAAGTACAAACCGTGAAGTTCAAACTAAACTACACTAGTTATGAAGTAAAAAACAGACAAAACAACGAAAAAAATTTTTCAGGTAACTTTAATAAAATTAAAATTAGCTTTTTTTCTAACTTTAATTAAGTGCAGTGGCGTGCACAGAGGAGGGGGATGAAAGGAGCAATCATCTTAGCAGAATGTCAACCATTTGACCACTATTGTCATTTAAATTTTAAATCAATTAAACTATTATTTTTTATGAATTTAAAGTTTTTAACAGATTACGTACAGCTTAAGCAAAATATTTCATGAAGGTAAAACTATGACTTTTATTCAGAATGATTGATAATGAACTATGATTTGAACCATGATTGATAATGAGTTATGATGATTATAAGAACTATGATTTTTATATGGCAGTTTTTGGTTATTATAAATTTAAAAAGTCTTTACAAGAAAGAAAAAAAATAGAAATATTTTGGCATAAATAAGGTTTTTAACTAGTAATAAATTTCCTCATACATTTACTTAAAAATGTGTTTGAAATAAAGATTTGGGCACTTATTTTTTCGATGTTTTTTCTTTTTAACAAATCATTTTTTTTGTTCCTGCCAGCTGTTACATTACTCTTTTCAGGAGCGTCTAACCGAAATGTTGCTCTAGGCATTCACAAACCTCTACCTACCAACCCCATGAATTCATAATTTTCCAGTAGAAAAATACAGTACATACAGTTCAAAAAGTACAGTATTTTAAATAAAAAGCCTCTTGCTAGGCTGAATTCTGACAACAAATCATTGAAACCAAAACATAAATAAATAAAACACTGATCACATACTAAGAAAAAACATCTTCGGGAATTGAGTTCGTTCAATTGACAATAGAGGTTCCAATGTACCGTTTCTCCTTACTTACGTCATATCTAAAAACTAATTTATTATTTTGCTTCGTTTTTCTTACGTTCTAAATGTTTTTTTTATCTTATCTAAGTGTTGGGGATTTTATCAGATAGGAAAAAAAATGGATTTCATTCGTATTTAATGTGATTGAAAGTTTTATTCATTGACAAACTTATACTGAACTCAAAACTTAATGGGGGCAGTCGTCGCTATTCCCCTAACCATAACCCTTTCTTTATTCTCATTAAAGCCATCAGGTAAGTGCTCATTGATTTGCTGAAATTTCGTAAATGTTTCAGACATTTACGACTCAATCAATTGATATGAAATATGACGAATTAAATTCCAAATTCTTAAAATCAAAAATGTCAGAAAGGGACTTTTTCGATTTCTTTCTGACTGTAACGATTTTTTTCATCCATTAGAAATTTCATGCTATTATTTTTTTTACCATTCTAAATATTATAAAAATAAAGAATAAAGTTTACGTAGATTTAATTATTCCTTATACAGTAAATAAAAGAGACGTTAAGTTTGGAAATCGGTTTACAGTTAATTGATTGAGTTTTCTTAATTATTGAATAATTTAATTATTGTCTTCATGAATAACAATTTTATTTATAATTTTGAATGTCATTTTTACCTAAAAGATAAGTGTAGATAAAACCATTGTAATAACTAGTAGAAATAGATAAAATAGTTTTGAAAGTATGAATAAAAGAAATCGTTTTAGGTTTTACTTATTTTTCGATCCTTTTTGGAATTATTTTATTAATTGCAGGAGTGTTGAGCATGCATGCTTGAAACGATTTTTTTTATCTAATAGAAATTTCATGTTATTATTTTTTTACCGTTATAGAAGTATTTTAAAAATAAAGAATGAAATTTTCATATATTTAGTTATTCCTTATACAGTAAATAAAAGAGACGTTAAGTTTGGAAATCGGTTTACAGTTAATTGATTGAGTTTTCTTAATTATTGAATAATTTAATTACTGTCTTCATGAATAACAATTTTATTTATAATTTTGATTATCATTTTTACCTAAAAGTTAAGTGTAGATAAAACCATTGCAATAACTAGTGGAAAAAAATAAAATAGTTTTGAAAGTATAGCTAAAAGAAATCGTTTTAGTTTTTGCTTATTTTTAAATCGTTTTTGGAATTATTTTATTAATTGCAGGAGTGTTGAGCATGCATGCTTGAAACGAATTTTTTTATCTAATAAAAATTTCATGTTATTATTTTTTTACCATTATAGAAATATTTTAAAAATAAGGAATGAAGTTGTCATGGATTTAGTTATTCCTTATACAGTAAATAAAAGAGACGTTAAGTTTGGAAGTCGGTTTAAAGTTAATTGATTGAGTTTTTTTAATTATTGAATAATTTAATTATTGTCTTCATGAGTGGCAATTTTATTTATAATTTTGACTGTCATTTTTACCTAAAAGGTAAGTGTAGATAAAACCATTGCAATAACTAGTAGAAAGAAATAAAATATTTTAAAAAGTATAGAAAGAAATCGTTTTAGTTTTCACTTATTTTGAAATCGCTTTTGGAATTATTTTGTTCATTTCAGGAATGTTGAGCATTATCAACCGACTCAGTCTACGAATAAATTGGTTGAATTCTTTCTGTCTTAAATAATTAATAAAAAAATTTTTATTTTTATTAAATTTTTATCCATTATGTGTTTAATTTTTTTTCTTCACTTTTTGTCGCTCTGAAAACAGTAATAAAAAGAAATATCAAATATTTCGTTTGTGTTGTTTTCAAAAAAATTTATTAATTAAATTTTATTAAAAAATTGCACATCTCGAATAGAATTTTTAATAAATAAATAAAACAACTTGTCCAATTTGATTTTAATATATAATTGAAAGTTATCATATCCTACTTTACCAATTATTAAATAATTGGAGAAAAAAATTAACATGAGTTAAAAAAAAAATATTAGTAATCATATTTCATTTTATTAATACAATGATGTTTTTGAGAGCTGAGCTGCTTTCTAGTAGAATTTCCAGAAACTTGAAAAGAACCATCTGGAAACAATATTTCAAAACTCTAATTTTCGAAGAAAAAAATAGGGTTATCACTATTTTGCCCAGCTATTCAATTAGTAATTGTTCAATCTAATTATTTAAAGGGGACGAAATGGCCACGGAAGATTTCAACCCAATTTTAGTGTTAACCCTTCATTTCCACTTATTCACATTTTTTTAATGCATTTTAAAATGCCACCATGACCACCCAAACAGTCTCTAGAATCCTTATAAAAAACAGTAATGAAATAAGTACATTTAAATGTAACAAATTAATAATAAGAATAGGAAAAAATCTTCTTCGCATCTAACTTTCTAATCTAGGACTAAACATCTAGAACTTTCAATATATAGTTATATAACGAATATATTATAGTTATATAACGAATATATATTCAAATATAACGAATAATTACTAAGGAAGGCAAGATGGACAATCAATTTGATCGTTTGATGAAGTTTGAAGTTATTTCTAATAATTGATTTTTAAATCTTTTATTCTTTCCGTGTTTTTTCCCAGTACCCAGACAGATTTAGATGTTTACAGCCTTGCCTTCCACTGTAGTGATTTTTCGGATGAGGAAGCTCTTTTTGTTTTCGTTTCTTCTCTTTAATATTAAATTGACTAAATAGCATTAAAAATTTTTTTACTTAATTTTTAACAAGGATTCTAATTATGTACGTTAAGGGTAGTCATTGCGCAACACCTGTATATATTTGCGAGTATTTTTCAATATATGTTTTGTTTAGATGTCGTATATTGGATCAAGTTCATTGTATCCTACCTTTGCATTCGTATTACCAGATGGGTAGTAAAAGGAAGATTGGATCTATATGACCTAAGAGCTGAACATGATCCCGTAAAGATAAATTTTATTTCACATCCCCAAGAGGTAATCTTAGAATCACCTTTAGAAGAATCTCAGTTGAGCACAGTAAGTTCTTGCATTAATTATTAAATCAGTTATGACTGCCATTCTTGTTAATAATAAATTAATATAAAGAGATTTTTATATTTTCCTTCACTGCTTCTTCCTTTTTTGAATCCATTTTAATAATATGAATATATTTATTTTGTTTGAAATAATGTTGTTACTTTTTGACTAGAATGAATTTGTAGTTGTTGTTGTCGTCAGCCATTATGGCAGAGTGGTTGCGATTGTTTTTGTTTTCCAGTGGCACCATCTATGGCCAAGGATTTGACTTCTGCCACATCCATATGTCACACCCGTTTATAACCCGGACCCCATTCATACATCCATTCATTTATCCACAGATCATAATTTTGACCTGAACCAGAGAATGATCGATCTCCAATTCAGTACCCCCAGAGGTATTTATTCCTTTTTTTAAAAAATGGGAACATGAAGGACTTTGTGACCCACCAGATTTAATGTGCCCCAGTCACCATTTACTACTTTTTTGTCTTTGACCGGCTGGATTCGAACTCCCGTTCTGACGAAAGTGAGTCCAGCTCCCTACCAACCTGGCCATCCCAGCCACCAGAATGAATTTAATTAGTTTAAATGCAAACATATACTTTTTCATAAAAGTACATTTAACATCGAGAGCATTTTACCCCCTTAATAAAATATAGTATTAACTAATAAAAGCTCATTAATAGTGAAGATTTAGTATCCATGTTCTGATTTCAGACATATTTTTTTTACTTACTAAAATGTGTAAGACGATTTATAAAAGCAAATAAAATATCTAAAATGAATAATGTGACTATTGTTTTCGTCAAATAATTTTAATTTCGGACATAGAGAAGCCACCTAACCTCAGTGACGCGTCACATTTTTAAAAATTTTGAAGAGAACGGAAAATTTCACACATAAGGTTATTTTTAAGCAAACGGTAGTCAAAAGTTTATCAATCGTTGTGATTCAGTATGCATGTTCTAATTTGAGATATCTATTTTTATGCTTTTGCCGAGCGGATTGTGTACTGGCCCGGGAGCCATCAGAAAGGTCCAGGGTTCGAATCCTGGACGGATGGATCCTGGACAGGCATGGATGTTCTTTCATCCTCTGTATTACCTGTCCTTACTGTGGGAGCAACGTTGGCCCACCTAATATGATGCTCCTAAAAAGAGTGGTCAACAAATCTGCCCTACTGATACTTAAATGACGAGTGTCAATCGGGTAGGCATTGGAAAAAAATATTCTTTACGATGTAAAATTGATTGATGAGGTCGAATGCGAATATAGATATAAAAATAATTAATGTGCTTAATGTTATTAATATATTGCCAAATAATTTTAACATCAGTTACGAAGAGCTAATGAACAACCACACTTTTGATAAAACCTTTAAAAAAAACAGAGAAGTTAAAGAAATTACAAAAAAGAATCGCAAAGGTGTGATTTGATTTGTCATTATACCTACTTAGGAATAAATAGGAATATTACCTGTTGTTTAACTTGGCTTAAAATTGCATTTTAGGCAGCTGATGAAGTGTTCTTTTATGGCGTTAACTCAAAGTCTGAGCATCTGGTAGCAAGAATTGGAAGGGGTCTTAATCACACAGCAGATGCATGGATACATCTCAAACTAAAAAATGGAAAAACCTATGAATTCCATAGCACTGCAGGCACACAACAGTGTTATGACAGAAAAGTTTTCAGTTGTGATGGATTTCAAATGCATTATCTGACACCCATGAGAATCTGGAGGATTTTCTATAATGGCTGGATAAAGTATACTTTTTTTATGTTATTTAAATTTAATTTAATGTTTCTCGCTTGTGTTAAAATGATTTGTAATGCTGATTCAAGAAAGAGGTTAAGCATAATTTTAGAGAATTCAAGTAAGATTTGATTTAGCTTTCTTTTCTTATCCGCATACTTTCCAGTTACTGCCTAAATTTCATTGATGATGATGATTTTTATCCTTCTGAACTGAATTAGATCATATTCATGAATTCCTTAACCTTAAATACCTCCAAAATATATATCCCTATAAAACATGGATCTCTTTAAAGGTTCCCTCGCTCACTAAGTTAATGCAGTTAATTATATTTAACGAAGTTGCTTTTGCTTTATTACGTTTGGTGCCGATTGTAAATGTTTCCTTAACACCGCGGGAAACTCTGAGGGTTTTTAAATGTCCAGTAGAGAGTCAAGTCAAGTAGTTTGACCTCACTTGTTACCTTTAAAATTAATTGAAGCACGAGGACTTTCCCTAAGATGCCAAACTTGCAGTGGCAGTTGTTTCAAAAAGGTGTTTATTTTATTTTATAACCGGTGTTGAACAGCTGACCCAATTCTGTGTTAATGACCATCAAAGTTATCTTTGTAATTTTGAAACCAATCCAGAAGAAAAGGGAAGTCTTCGATCAAGTATTGGGACAAACTAGCCTTCGTAGAGCACTTTTTGATGGAATTAACCATCATTTGCGATTCATGCACTCAAAAAAGAGGATTTTTCAAGGTTATTCGTAAACTTATTTGCTGTTAAATGCACTCTGAACCTTCTTCCATTTCAAAAACGAAGTAGACATTTAACAGTTTCAATCCACTAGAATTTGCGAAATTTAAAGAATTCGCCAAAAATGAATAATAAATTATGTTGTTTAGTTAAAAAAGACTAAAATAAGATCTCTCACAAGCAAATCTCATATTTTTTCACAAATTTTACACTGTAGTCTTCTGTTAAACTATTTAATTATAACAGAAGCCATATTTAAGTATTGATTTTGTTATAAAGGGAGAAAAATGAAGAAGATTCTACAGTGAAAATGGTGTACGTGAAATTCGCTCTGCTGTAAGTATATCCAATGGAGTGTAAAAACGTTCGTAGTTCTTATATTTCTTTCATTAGTGGAATATTTTTATATCTTTAATTTCAGATGGCGGACGTCGTCTGTGGTATTTGATTTCTTGTCTGATGCTGAAGCCGGGGCATTAGCAAATAGTTTGGCTAATACAAAATGGAACAACTTCTTACCTCCACTCGCAAAGTATTTTACATTACTCTTATTTCTGATTTCCCGCATGTTCTGAAAATAATTTTCTCTTTATTTCTTTATAGACTTTGTAATGCACTGAACTTTTATGCCCAATGTGGAATAATTACGGGCACAATCAATGTAGAAGGAGAAGAAGAAAACAATATTTACTTATTTGGTGAAAAAATTCGATACATGGGTGAGATTCTTATTTTCTTTTAAATGTTTAAGATATAAAACACGCATAAAACACAGTAACAAATCATATAAAAACGTACACGGTTCAATAAAAACTAACTAAATTACACCAAAAAATTAAAGTCAAATTAATGAATAAAAAAAAGACTGGTACGCGGAAAAAATGTAACTGAAAAATTGTAGCAAAAAATTGAGAAATTTCGTGTCAAGGTGGATTAGAGAGGATAGAGAGTTTACCTCCCAATGAGGTAAGGTGGTTCGAATCCCAACGGTGGCTAGTTGATACGAATTCTGCTCCCGACTTCCATCAACCACTGTCCTGAAGGGAAATATCCTCATAGATAAATGGATCAAGAATTAGATTCCTCTTTATGTCGGGCTAACTGTGTGAGGTTTTAGCGGTTTTCCTCTCCATTTTACACAAATGCGGATGAGTTACATTAGTGCTTCCCAAACTTCTGACTTTTGTGTACCCTTTCTAAATATTTCGCAACGCTGTGTACCACTAATAAAAAAAATTATTTTTTACTATAAAAAAGTTACACAAAAGCTAAAAATCACAACTGGCCGTTGACACCACTAATTTTAAACTGTTAACTCTACAAAAAGTAGCCAATAGAAAATACGTAATTGTAATTTTCATGGCTAGCTTTGTTTTTAAATAAAATTTTTTGAAATTTTTGTTTGTTACTAGATATTTCGCATAGGAACGCGTACCCCACTAAACTGTTCCCGTACCCCTGGGGGTACGTGTACCACACTTTGGGAAACACTGAGTTACATCAATAAGTCCTTCTCGAAGGCTAGTTTCCCCCAATTACTAATTCAGTCATTTTCTTGTCTTCTGGGTTGGATTTAAAGTTACATGACTATAGAGTTGAACAGTGATAGTCGTAAATTCAGAATCATGTCTTCTGTTCAACACCGGTTATCAATTAAATAAATTGAAAATTGGCGACAAAATTAGTTATTTTCAATTTGCTAGAGAGTCCCCAAAAGTATCACTTGGCGAGCTTGGTAAGTTAACTGTCAAAGCATTAATGACAAAAAGACTGTTTCTGGACCAGTTTGAATACATTTTTGTATGGTAATAATTATTAAAATACTCAAAATTACATAAAATTAAAATAATTTATGTAAGCAAAAGTATCATTTCAAACACGCATGAACAACTAGTCCATGTGCCTGAATAGGAAACGCTCTGAAGCTGCATGCGATGACAATTGCATTCGTAACTTACCATGTAATTTTTCATTCTTATGTTGGGGTGACGATTTAAAACTTAACGGGAAATAACAAAAGAGTTATAATTAAATTTATTTAGCCATGTGCAAAATTATTTTTGGCAGTTAACTAGGTGTTTCTGATCATTTTTTTTCCATCGAATGTCATAGCCGAAAACACTCGAAATTAAAAAGTCTTGTTTGAAATATTCTTTGATAGTATTGCCTTTATTGAGGTAATAACTTTAAAGGATAATAGAATATGGTTAAACAAACTCTATTGCAATGCAAAGGTTAAAAAAAACTTATAAGAAATGCAAAGGTTAAAAAAAAAACCTCTTAAAATGCATTTTAAAGAAAAAATTTAAAAGTACGATAGTTATACTAAAACGTTATATTTTTTAAAAAAATTCCCTCTGGAATTATAAAACCAATTTATATTTTAAGTTTTAGCATAAAATGTAGCGTAATCGAGTTAATTATCACACATCACTACCATTGTTTTTTTTTCAGCATCTTTTCCTTTTATTTAAATGACTGGCGCGCAGATCAATTTCAGCATGTTTTATCAGCTCTATCATTCATAATCCCTAATAAGAATATATGAATTTTGTAAACCTATTTCAAATGAATCTAAAAAACGCTATTTTATAAACGGGGTCCCTTTTTCTTAAACCAACACATTCTAAGAATTAATACTAAATTATAATTTTTGACGACCTCAGTTTACCTCAGTTTATTCTGAGAATTCTTAATTATAAGTTTAAGAAATCGTTTGTTCTATATAACGAATTTGTGTCGAAACAAGTGGTCATACTTTTTAAACATGTTTTTTAAGCATGTGTCATTCCCTTATACTCCTTTTCATTTGTATTTCCCACTAATGGTGAGAAATGAAGTTGCAATAAGCCTAATGTTTTTGACGAAAGCCGTAACATCCAAAAAAAGGAAATTAATTTTCGAAATTTGACGAAATGCTCGCTCAGAGTATTTGCCAGGACACGATTTCGTCACAAGCGGAAACATTCACTTGAATTGAGAGATTTCATTTCTTTTAGTGCATGAGAACGGGATTTAATCCCAATTATATGAATAATGTTAATAAAAATAAACTAAACAATCAAATTTCATTATAGGTGGCTATTCAATTATGAAAGAAACGAGTTTCATGCATGCATTTGGGCAGATATTTAAAGTATATATATATAAATTTTTAAAAAGTTCTTTTCATTTTTTTAAAATTTTACAATGTATTGTTTACATTAATATTTAAACATTTCTGACTAGGATGGAAGCTTTGTACACTTGACTCAAATATCAATAGATGGTATCGTTGAAAAGTACGTGTTTTTAATCTCTCTCACTCTCTCTCTCTCTCTTTCACTCAATACTATTTACACTTTATTTTTATACATGTTGCGTTAGAAAATATTTTTATGACTCTCTCTCTCTCTCAAGCACAACTATTTACACTTTATTTTTATAAATGTTGCGTTAGTAAATATTTCTATGACTCTCTCTCTCTCTCAAGCACAACTATTTACACTTAATTTTTATTAATGTTGTGTTATTAAATGTACGAATTTCTATTTCTTTTAAGCATAACTATCTACGCTTAATTTTTATAAATGTTACGGTAATAAATATTTTTATGACTCTCTCTCTCTCTCTCTCAAGCACAACTATTTACACTTTATTTTTATAAATGTTGCGTTAATAAATTAATAAATACTTTTATCTCTCTCACAAGCACATCTATTTACGCTTTATTTTTATTAATGTTGTGTTGTTAAATGTACAAGGTTAGCTATACTATATACATTTTTCGAACATTGTACTATTAATAACAGCGTTTAAGCTCGTTCATTCGCAAAAAATACGATCGATGCCTGAGATCACGAACGTTTGAATGGATGGATGAACGGACCCTGCATCCGTATTTGTCACCCTCTCCATCCCTGCTTCTTTTCGCTATAAAAATGGCGTCCTTCTTCTATACGGAGACGTGCGTCTCTTTGTTTAATAAACAGATCCCTAGCTATCTCATTGAAATGGGATTTCTCATGTTGTTAATATGGGCTTGTTCAGTACTGTGTGTCAGTAGAATAAAGAAGACGTATTTTACTCTTTTACGTTTGAAGAAAGATCCCTTCTCGCATATTATAGAACTCTTCGTTAAAGGTAAGCAGTTGTCGAAATATGTTACGTAAAACTTCACTGCTTCGTTTCTTTTTATGTTTGACAATTATATATATCTGTTATCATCATCATAAATCTGCCTTCATGTANTATATATATGTATGTATATTTCTCTTATGCAAAATAAGATACAAATGTCCATTATAGAACTTTTTCTGGAAACCTACTAATTTTACCTAAAATCAATGCTTAAAATTTTTTTTTCTTCAGTTTTTGCATCGAATTGCCTTTAAAAAAAGAAATGCGTCTGTCTAACATTAAACTGACGGTAATAGTTTGTAAATATTGATTTACGCTCCATAAAGTATTTACTATCATTTTTCTCAAAAGTAATTTTTATATTTTTATGCTCAACATTGACGAAAACGTTTCAATTAAAAAGGAAAAACTTATATTCCTAATTATGTGCATTATATCTATTATCTTTTTTTCATTAAACAAGACTGTTTATCTACATAATAGAAGCGGAAACTAACATGAAAAATATAAAAAGAAAATAGCAATGTTTTCTTATCGAATATTAGTTATCTATATTTGCAGACATATTTAAACTAATGAGGGAGAAAAATGGAAAATTAAATTATTACTTGTTGAATGAATTCCAGACTTTTCTGTGCAAATGATAGTTTACCTGTTTTTCATTGAACGTCAGTAATTTATATTTACCTGAGAAGCGTGAAAATAAAATTTCTGTAAGGATAGTCTTTACGCTAATATTTCAGAAATAGTACAGAATTTACTTAAACCATATTATGCAACGAAACTGTTTCTCAACATTTTTCTTTTACAACAACAAAAAGTTAGGTCGACTTAAAGATGTAAAATCGAAATGGAAATGGACTTTTTAATCCTCAATATTAACAAAATTATTTGAATGCAATGGTCTAATTATTTGATGCAGCGGGACTATTAACTAACATTTGTTTGAATAAAAAAAAGCTTAAACCAATGAGAACAAACTAGATAAAAAATATCTAGAGCATTAAACCTTAATACTAATATTGATATTTGAACTAAGAAGAAGGGAAATAAAATTTCGTACGTTTCAACGTTCATTACTAACTCAATACTTACTTACTAACTTTCTTCACATGACTGTGTAGAAAAAAAAGAAATAACGAGAGAATCATTCATTCTAAACTTGCTTCTGTAACATCACTATGTAGAGACGAATAGAAAAGTAAAAGTATCGAGAGAATCAGTTCTCAGAATTAAATAAAGTATTTCAACAAAAATGAGTTAAAACATTTGCTTTTTTAATTGCATTTATTGCAAACTTGCTTACATAACATGACTGTGTAGAAAAAAAAAACATGCAATTCAGCAGTATCACTAGCATCTGCTCTCATCCCAAACATTAATATTCGGTATGAGAAGAGAAAAATGAAATTTCTGTACGTATTTATATGCGTTGCAAATCTGCTTCGGAAATATGAATATATAGAGGCGAATAGAAGTATAGGAGTATCAAGGGAATGAGTTATCAGCATTACCATAAATATTTGAAATGAGAAGAATGAAAATGAAATTTCTGTACGCGTTTACATTCATGACAAACTTGTTTATGTTGCATGACTTTGCAGAAACAAAATAAGAGTATCAAGGAAATCAATTTCCCATGTTAACATAAGCGGTTAAACTGGAAAACTGAAAACGAAATTTTTATGCCAATTTATAGTTATTAAAGAGTTGCTTGTCCTACATCATAGTGCAGAAAAAAAATTGCTATATAAGAATTTTGCGCATTAGTTCACAGCATTCACAAAAGCATTTAAACTAAGGAGATTAACAATGAAACTTCTTTTCTTATTTAAATCCATTGCAAATTTGCTTATGAAACATGACGGCTTTCCAACATTTCTTTACATAATAGGAATTAAGACAAACGAGAGAAGTGTAAGAACAAAATGGCAAAATTTGCTCTATAGAATATCGGTCTTTTTAATTCCTTTCACACAGGTTTACAGCATTCATTTAATGATCAATGATATACAGCACTATTGTAAAGATTTTGAATGCAAAAAATTAATTTTTGGCAATCTATTATGGAGAGTGTTTGTTTTAGCCGATTGGATCACATTAAAATTAAAACAAAAAGAAATTACCCGTTTTTTACAAACCTTTAAGACTTTAGAGAGATCTAATAAATCCATTGAAAAGATGTATAATTTAATTAAAAATTGTATGACCATTTCGCTATTACTTATACATGGTATTATATTTATATTTATTATCAATCTTTTCCTTAGCGATGAAAGTACTAGTTCTTGGTTTCGGCATTTATCTTATCACATTGATGTTATATTAGATCAACGGATTAAAGCAGTCATCTCGATTCTTTATTTTGTTTTATCGAAATTAATAAGCTCACTAATGCCATCTTTATTAAGTATAGTCTATATTGGGTGGTGTGGTGCATTAAACAAAGCAGTTAAAGACTGCGGTAAAACTCTCAACGGAAAAGCAAACGTGGAAATATTTATTCATAAATATTCTGCTGTTTATAAATTAGTTGGCAAAATGGAGAAAACCTTCTCTTTGCACATTTTTTGCCTAATTGGAACAAATTTTTTAGTTATCTTCAAGTTCTTTGCTGAATTCCTCGGTTATTATTCGTACGATGATAGAATTGCTGAAATAGAAAATTTCTATTCGCCGTTTCTTCAAGCACTTTTATTCTTTGTTACAATTTACTATGCGGCGGGAGTAGAAGAACAAGACCGTATACTGAGACAGAAGGCTGAAAATGTAGCATTTCTCCTTATTACTTCAAAGAAGACTTATAAGAATGGAGACTTATTATCGAAATTCTTAAGCTCGAAGCAAAATATTGTTATGTCTGCTTGGGGTGCTTTCACTTTTAGTAAAAGTTTACTTCTCACTTCAGTCGGTGTCATTATATCATATAACTTACTCATTTTGCAAGTGAGACTAATAAATTAAATAAGAAGCGTTCAAAAATACTCAAATGAATATTTGCTTTCTCCTTAATGTTGTATTGGACACCATTATTAATAAATAATATTAATCGGCTTTATTATTATTGGATATAACTTACTCATTTTGCAAGCAAGACTTATTAAACTGATAAGCGAATGAGAAACGTTCAGAAGCAACCAAAAGAATATTTGCTTTCTTGATATTGTATTGGAGACCATTATTAACAAAAAGTATTAATCGATGTCATTTTATCAGATAACTTATTCATTTTCCAACTAATAAATGTTAAAAAGTGCAATGAAAGGATATTCGCTTTCTTCTTGATGTTGAATTGGAAGCCAGTATTAATAAATAATATGCGATCGTACATTTAGATACAATAAAAATGTACTTTTTACTTCAGTTGTTGTCATTATATCATGTAACTCAAGTGGGGCCATTAAACTGATGACTACAAAACGTAACCAAGTACTCAAAATTATGTTTGATTTCTATTTAACATTCAATTGGAGCCAATTGTTTAGAAAAAACTTAACTTCTATCAGTGACAATTTATTCATTTTGCATGGAATGTCTTTAGCTACAAACATAAAAAATGAAATGATAAATGAAGAAAGATCATTTCAAAAGTATTGAAGAAAACTTGACGTAAATGATCCTAAAAAACTGAAGAGAGAAGATAAACTTGTTAGTGTAGAAGTTTTATTAGTTTCAAAAATTATTAATATGGAAACAGTTGACGCGTTTTGAGTGCTCCAAAATAGGCGTCCATTTTCAGAATTCACCGGATCAGAAGGAAGAAAAAACAGATATGAAATAGGAAACGCAAATTTGCCTTCGAAACCGCGAAATAAGCATTTGTCCTTAATCGATAGCAAACTCTATAACAGAATTTGAAAATGTTTTATAAAACAACTATGATTGTAACTGAAAATTAATCCACTACAAATTTTAAAAATGTTTGCATATATAGTGATTTTTAAGATTGAAACTATAGCGAAAAAATGTTCTAATTGATAGCATTTTGAAAATTTCAGAGACATTATGTTCAGAGACCCTAAAGACATTAGAGAGACATTAAACAGACAGAGACATTAAACAATGATGAATTCTCTAAAACTTTCCATAAAAACAAAATCAATACAACCGTAGAGCGAGAGCAATTAAGAAAAGTAAAACTTATGCTCATACATCACACAATTTGATACGAATCCTGTAAAAAATTCTCACATTTTCTTTTGCATAAAGACAGGGCTATTTAATTACTGCGTTTTTCAAAAGATTTCTGTGAAAAAACGTCCCTTTACTACTACGGCTATGTTTTTGTTAAACAGAAACAAAAGCAAAAAAACAATTTATTGCATGAATATTTGAATTTTGATCTGAAATTATATAATTAAAGTACTTAGCAAACAAATCACTTTTTCCGGAACATGTCACGGAACAAAAAAAAACTGATATAGTGTAATTTTTGCTGTAATATTTACGGTAAAATCTCTGAGTCTCTCTAATTAAATAAATATTTCTGTAAAAACTACGGTATAATATTTTAAGGTCAAAATGAATGTGCTATTTTACAGGTGATGCACCCAAAGTGTCAGTACTTTATACTATAGTTTGATCCGGAATTTTTCACAGCGTGCGAATATATGTCTAACTATAAATAAATAAGATCGATAGAGTTGGAACTTGTGAGTTGGCAGCTCTGGGTTGAAGAAATCGGTATCAGAAAACTGTTACCGGCTGAAACTTCGAAAAACTCTTGCCTATATAAAAGAAGCTCTTCAGATTACAGATATTTCTCCAACAAAAAAAAGAACATTGATTAGATGGAAATATTTACAGTAATAATTTGCCAAAACATTGGAGTTCTACTACTATTTATACATACGAATGTGAAAGACCAGCGAATTTTTCCTCCTCCTTATAATTTTGTCTGATTTCTTCTTTTCTTCATTACACTTTTGACGACGATGACATCAGAACAAAATTTAAATTTCATCGCTTTCTGTGAGCCGTAATTCAGTGTTAGAAACATTTGGATACCCATAGAGAAACTGCTGTAACTAAATATATTGCAGTAAATGTGCATATGACCTGATATTAACTACCAGTCAATTAATAACATTCATCAACTGCAATAAAAAAATCCTATTTAAAATTGACAGGTTGTGCGCAAGAATAAAGTAACTGTAAAAAAATTAAAATAAAGTATTAAAGACAAGAGATTTATGTATTGTATCCCACAATATATATTAGCGAACTGGTATTACATTATCTTATTCAAATCGAAAAGTATGTTTGTCCACTGTCAAAAATGGATTGGAAAATATTTTAGAAAATTTGAACTATCATTAAGCCACTCAATTACAGTAAAACCTCAATCTTAGACAGTTTCAAACCTAAAATAAAAGCTCTTAGTCTATCAAAATATTAAAGTTTATTAAAAAAACTACTGAAAGTCTATCGAAAACTTATAGTTAGATGGCAACGGTGGTGCAAATACACAGAGATGACACACTGAGAAAAAAAAGTTCTGATCAACTCTGAATATCGAAACATTTACCGTGCTTCTGTCTTTATCAGAACACCAGGAAGACTGGTAAATTTTACCGAAGCGCTTTGATAATGATTTCGGTAAAATTGACAATAAAATCTGATACTTTAATACGTGATAAAGTTTAATAAATGTTGTAAAATTTGGGAATTTATCGTGATTCCTCAGTGGATGGCATGAAAATTATTTATTCAGAGAAATTTACTTTTCAGTTTTGTATTTTTCACTAAATGTGGGGAAATAAGAACTATAATTTGGAAAAACGGAATTTCTAGTAAATTGCTGCCATACGAATGAAAAAAATCATCAAATGAATGGTCTAAATACTGTATAGTTTGGTCTAAATAGTGTCCTATTACGAGAATTATGGGTTTTTTTTACTTATAAATGCCATTACCATACTGTAAGGTATTTTTACCTGATTTTTTTTCTCCTTGTATAAACTGTGATTTAGTAATAAAATTTATAATCACTATAAAAGTAAGTGGAAACAGTTTTGACATAAAGAAACTGAAAATTCCTTAGAAATTAAAATTCAATTTAAAATTAAAAATTCAAATATCCTGATTGCCTATCTAGATTATTTACTTTAAAATTTTCGTTGAAAAAATTTTATTTTTGATTCAGCAGCATTTGTGCTTTAATTTAGATTTGTTTTAACCACTATGCTAAATCGATAATTTAATCATATAAATCTTAGACATATTAGCTTGGCAGTTAAGTTTTTAAAAAATTGGAGAAGTACTTCAGTTTTTAAAAAAATTCCTCCATTACTCATATTACGACCACTACTTAAATCTTTTCCAGATGTTTGAAAGTTGGCAGTAATAAAGAAGCAAGTTTTTTTATTATTTATTTATTTATTCATTCTTTTCCTTTATGTTTCTTTCCTTCTTTTTTTTTGCTGTCTACTGAAAAAATAAAAATCTAAATCAATAAATATCATCTTAGAAGATAATTTCAGAGAGAGCTCATAGTTCTAAGTGGTATAAATTCTTGCACGTTTTTTCTCTTCTTAATTTTTGAAATTCTTTAAAATTCTTCTTTTAAATTGTTCGATTTTTTTTTTAAAATAATCAACATCTGTAAAATATTTTGATGCAAATTTTTGAGTATTCATGTAAAATATTAAAGGAAAATACTATTGCTAAAGATTGCATTTCAAATTACTTAAAACAGCATATGTTAGAATAAACTTCCAATTTATGAAATGATTTTCATGAACTATTTAAAATTCATGACAGTTACCATCGTAACGTTTTCTGAGAAAAGGAGACAATAGTTAAAAGTAGTAAAGTAGGAAACAATAATTGATAGTAAGTTAACTTTCAATTATTGTTTCCTTTTAGTAGGGAAACATTTTGAGTAAGGAAACAATAATTGAAAGCGACAATAATAAGACTTTTTTTAAAAAAAAGTTAAATCTTGGAGATTAAATGAAAGTTTATGAGTCTGTAGCTTAGAATGTGATCTTATAAGACCAAGACTCCTGTTTCATACGGGAACTAAATATGCAAGGTGTTCCGTGATGGCCACCCTTGATCTGTATTTTTTAAATTCTTGTCAAAAAAGAAATACAGGACTTCATGGGTTGCAAAGTTAATGTTCTAACAAGAAGAAATACAAATGCTACCAAAAACAGCCATAATATTAGTTTACAGCCTTTAATATGTATGCTTCTTTGATTTCATTTGAAAAATTTCCCCATAAAATTGAGATCACGTCACATACTGTCGAATAGTGAATTATATATTTTTCGTGGTTAATTAATGTGACATAGCTCAAAATTTTAAAATGTCTGTGACTGCAGCTATGTGTTCCTTTTTTCAGATGTAATATATCTGTATGACAGATCTCCAAGCGTTAAGTAGTATCTTAACAGAAAAAATCTTTAATAAAGCAGGGGGAAAAAATAAACACTTTTATTACTTTTGATGCAATGATTGAATTTTCACCTGTACTACGTGTCAATCTTAACAGTCTGGGATTATATCCTTAATTATGCCCATTAATTAGTACAGGCGATATTTTATGTTGCGAAATTAAACATTAGAAGCAGTACTTTCCATTAATAAACACACACTTTTTTCGACTAATTTGAAATCTTAACCCTCTGATGTGGGAAATCGTCGCAATCTGGAAAATACGGCCCAAATAGTTTAAATAGAAAAGCGCTATTGATATTTTCAAAAAAGATGGGAAACCTGGTTAGTATTATTTAAAATCAGATTTTTCTAGTCAAAAAATAAATATGAAAGCATGAGTTTTGCTAACATTGGAATGCATCTTCTGCAAAAGCATTGAAATTAGTAGCTATGAATTAAGCAATCATTATTTTATATTTCAGCTGTTCTTTCGAGTAATTTGTTATAAAGATTTGTTTTTAAAATACTTTACAGCTTGCAATTTGGTTTCGTTGCTGAACCACTTGGTACTATCACAGCCATTACGGACAAAACTTTAAATTTTAAAACCTTGACTGGAAATAAGGAAGAGGAAAATGAAGAGATGAAATTTAACTGCAAAGGTAATGTAAATATATGGTTTCTCGGTAAGAGATCGAAAAATGAAAATAAAGACTCGGTGTAAACCGACACTCACGTGGACGCTTTAGTGAATGTCCAGAATATTTGTTTTTGTATCATTTTTAGTGTATAGAGAATAGAGCAAGTGCATAACGGGTAATGTTCCTTAATCTTTAAAAGACATCAGTGTATAGAATAATGCGCAACTGCATATCAGATGATGGCCCTTAATCTCAAAAAGAATTATCAATGAACAGAATACTGAGTAAATACTTACTGGACAATGACCCTTAATCTGAAATAATATTAGTGGAGAAAACTGAGCAAGTGTATATCGGGCAATGGCCGAAAATTTGCTAATTTATTTATTGAAATTTTCATATTTTTTAATTTTACTGATATTTTAATTTTTTTCTCTAAAGTCACTAAATGAAATAGTGTATAATAAGAAAGCGTGTTTTGTAAACAATCCGTTGTTGTTGCTATGACTTCTGGAATTAACGTTCTTAAATTAACTAAATTGTTATTTAAAACAATTTATCACAATGATTTTCAGCTGCTATGTTATTTGTTTCAGATTTAGAATACATTATGAAAGGAGGGTTGTCTGGAAAAGAGATGACTTTCGAGAAGAAAATAAATTTGGTAGGAAATTTACAACTTCAAAACTTTAGCTTCAGCTTGAATTCTATGGATGGTGCAGGATTTTTTATGAAAGGGTTTGTAACAATGCACTTTATACAAATACTCAATGTACGAAATAAATAATAAAAAGTAAAGACAATGTGAAAATAAATACACTCCATAACAAAAAATAGACGCACCAAGAAGGAAGACAATGTGCAGAATAGTAAATGATTAAAATTTCAGAACAATTGAATAATTTATTGCGGAGTTACAGTAACAAGTTCAATAAGGTGTTAACCCGCCTCCAGCCTGGATAAAAGCTACCACACGGCGTGGCATAGACCGATTAAGCTCCCGGATGGTCTCTTGCGGTATTTCCTGCCAAATTCGATTCAATTGTCGAACGAGGTCATCAACATTCCGTGCCANGCCGCAGAAGTTAAAGAACAAGACCGTATAGTAAGACAGACGGCTGAAAATTTGGCATTCCTCCTGATTACTTCAAAGAAGACTTATAAGAATGGAGACTTATTATCGAAATTTTTAAGCTCGAAGCAAAATATTATTCTGACTGCATGGGGTGCTTTCACTTTCAGTAAAAGTTTACTTTTCTCTTCAATCGGTGTCATTATATCATATAACTTACTCATTTTGCAAGTGAAACTATTAAACTGATAAACGAATAAGAAACGTTAAAAAGTAACCCAAAAGGACTTGATTTCTTCTTGACGTTGTATTGGAGACCATTGTCAATAAAAAGTACCAATCGTCATTTTATCCTATAACTTATTATAAGTGTCATTTTATCCTATAACTTACTTATTTTGTAAGTAAGATTAATAAACTTATAAATGAATAAAAAGCATTCAAAAGTAACCAAAGGAATATTTGCTTTATTCTTGATGTTGTATTTTAAACCACTATCAATAAATAATATCAATCGGTGTTATTATACCCCACAAATTTGCAAGTGAGACTATTAAACTAACAAATGAATAAGAAACGCTAAAAAGTAACAAAAAGAATATTCGCTTTCTTCTTGATGTTGTATTGGAAATCATTATTAATAAATAATAGTCTAGAGTACTTTTAGACACAATAAAAATGTACTTTTTACTTCAGTTGGTGTCATTATATCATGTAACTAACTTATTTTGCAAGTGGGGACATTAAACTGATGACTAAGAAACGTAACCAACTAATCAAAATAATGTTTGATTTTTATTTTATATTGAATTGGAGGCAATTGTTTAGAAAAGAATTTGCCAATGTATTTTTAACTGCTGGAAAAAAATCTACTTTTAACTTCTATCAGCGTCAACTCTGCACTGAATGTCTATAAACATAAGCTTTAAACATTAGCTATAAACATAAAAAATAAAATTATAAAAGAAGAAAATTTAAAAAATGAAAAAAAAAGTAATGGTCCAACAATGACATGAATGGTCCTAAGAAACTGAAGAGGAAAGATAAACTTGATACAGTAAAAGTTTTATTAGCTTCAAAAATTATTAATACGAAAAAAGTTGACGCGTTTTGAGTACTCAAAATTATGCGCCAATTTTAAATTCGAAACAACCATGATAAAAAAGTTCTAATTTATAGTAATTTGAAAATTTTGCATGTTCAGAGACAATAAAGAATGATGAATATTCTAAAAAGTTCGATAAGAACAAGAACAATACAATCGTGGTGCGAGAGCAATTAAGAAAAGCAAAATTTATGCTCTTACAGCACACAATTTGATACCATTCCTGCAAAACGTTCTCAGATTATTTTTGAAACATAATGACTGGTTATTTACTACGGTAATGTGCTTTTGTTAAACAAAAAAAATGAATTGCATAAATATTCAAATTATGATCAGAAATTAACTAACTAAAGTATTTAGCAATTGCTGTCAGCTGAGTCTGCCATTTTCACAGGCATTTAGCCGAAAATTTTCTATCATATTTAAAATGGTACTAAAAGTTATGCTGCAAATATTTGAATTAACTCTATAGAAATGTGAAGATCTGTTATAAGATAAAAGACCTAAATTCAGAATCCTCCCACTGTATCAAGCATTCTTGACGTTCTGCCAAACACTGTGTATTTGGGAAATATCGGGCTTGAATCCCACATTAAATTTGGACGTATCTTTGCGACGTACTTTTCTAAATTGTGTTCTTTATTTTTCAACTTGGCAAGAGATTATATATCGTACTTTTCAATAATCACACAAGCCTGCATTGTATAAAATTCCGGAATATTTTCAGATTAAAAGCACTCAGGGTATTTTTATTGTGAAATCCATTTTTTGTTCCATGTAACGGAACAAAAAATCTGATATACCGTAATTTTTACATTAATATTTACCGTAGAATTATTGAATCAATCTAATTAAAAAAATATTATTGTAAAATTACGACATAATATTTTACGTTAAAAATGGATTTTACAAATGATGCACCCAAAGTGTCGGTAATTAATACAATAATTTGATCCGGAATTTTTTACAGCGTACGTTTGTTTGTCTAACAATAAATAAATAAGACCTGGAGAGTTGGAACTAGTGAGCTGGCAGCTCTGGGTTAAAGAAATCAGTTGACAGAAATCAGTAAACTGTGTAACTGTTGCCGAAACTTCAAAAAACTCTAACCTACCTTTGAGGAAAGTAGCTCTTAAGAATACAGATATTTTTTCGTAAAAAAAGTAAAGCATTGATTAGATGGAAATATTTATAGTAATAATTTGCCAAAACATTGGTGTTCTACTACTACTTATCCCTACTATCAAATCCCTTCAAATGTGAAAGACTCGTGAACTTTTCCACCTCCTTATAATTTTGTCTGATTTCTTCTTTTCTTCATTACACTTCTATCAGATTATGGCATCAGAGCAAAATTTAAATTTCATCGCAACTTCATGAGCCTTAATTCAGGGTTTAAAACATTTGGACACCCATAGAGAAACTACTACAACCAAATAGACTGAACAAACTGTGCATGACCTATCAGTGCATTAATAACAGAAATTAATTAATATTACAGCAATAAATTAATTAATATTACATCGATTAGAATTAATTAATATACATCAACAGAAATTAATTAATATTACATCAACAGCAATAAGAAATCATATTTCAAATTGACAGGTTTTGCACAAGAGCAAAGTAACTCCAAAAAAATTTTTAAATAAAGTATAAAAGACAAGAGATTTATGTATTGTATCCCGCAGTATATATTAGCTAACTGGTGTTAAATTGGGTATAATATGAAAAAAACACAACTACTTCGATTTAGTAGGAACAACATATGAGGCAATGCTAAACGAATGGAATTTAGTTGTTGTTTATTTAGTTATTGTTATTAGTAGTTGTTGTTATTTGTTTTAGTTGTTGTTGTTTATTTAGTTGTATTTAGTTTAAATAACTTTTCTTTAAAATGCAATAAAATCTGGCGAGCAGCTATTTAAACGATCGAACACTTCATTTGTTTATTTGTGGCTTGAAGTTAGGCTCGCAGAAAATGCCGTTCATGGGTTAAATTTAGTAGGAACAACACAACCTGTGACGTAGGCTATATTATACCCAATTATCTTACTCAAATCAAAAAGTATTATTCTCCACTGTCAAAAATGAATTTTAAAAATATTTTAGAAAATTTGAACGTGCATTAAGCCATTCAATTACAGTGGCAGTAAAACCTCAATCTTAGAAAGTTTCAAACCTAAAATACGCGCTCTTAGTCGATCAGAATATTAGAGTTTATCGAAAACCTACAGTTAGATGGCAACAGTCGTGCAAATTTTATTTAGCTAAAAACATTGGAAAAGCTATTACACTGGAAAAAAAATTTCTGATCAATTCTGAATACCGAAAAACAATAAATGATTTATAGTAAATTGTTACCATATGAATGAAAAAAATGCCAAATGAATGGTCTAAATACTGTATATTTTGGTTTTTATTACCAGAATTATGGGTTTTTTTTTTTTTATTTAGAAATGCCATTACCATAAAGTACGGTAATTTTACCTGATTTTTTTTCTCCTTGTATAAACAGTGATTTAGTAAATAAAAATTATAATCACTATAAAAAAAAAGTGGCATCGGTTTTAACATAAATAAACTGAAAATTGCTTAGAATTTCAATTTAAAATTTAAAATTCAAACCTCCTGAGTGCCTGTCTAGATTATTTACTTAAAAATTTTCGTTGAGGAAAATACAGGTTATTCATAATTCCCTCCGGGGTTTCGAAGCGTTATAGTAAAAAAACGAAGACGAATGTGGCAAAAAAGAACATATGAAATTATTCCAAAAGTATTCAAGTTTTATTTAAAGCAGTTGCCGGTAGATGGCAGTAACATGTACCACTGAAGCCAGTTGTAGTAAACATAATGTTGTAGTAAACAGAGGGAATTATGAATAACCCTATAAATCTTTGACTTAGCAACAGTGTCTTAGTTTAAATTTGTTTTAACCACGATGCTAAATGGATAATTTAATCATATAAATCCAGACCTAGTAGTTTGACAGATAAGTTCTTAAAAATTAGAGAACTTTAGTTTTTAAGAAAATTACTCCTTTAATTATATTACAATCACTATTTAAACCCTTTCCAAAGGTTTGAAAGTTGGCAGTAATACACAAGCAAGTTTCATTATTTAATAATTTTTTATTGTCTGCTTTCAAATCTTTGACGGAAAAAAAAAGAGTTGAAAAATTCTTCAAAACAATTAATATTTTTGAGTAAGGTGGTGAAATTTTTCGTAATTTTAAAATATTTAAATTTTGTTTTAATAAATAAAATTATAAAAAAGGAACTAAAAATAAATAAATAAGAACTAAAAAAAATAAGCTTAATAAATAAATAAAAATATAAAAAATTTAAAAAGAACTATACAAAAATATAAAAAGTTTGAAACAAAATTGCCCGGAAACGACATGTGTTCTAAGGGAGTTAGTTGCGAGTTGAGTAATTTTCACCAGGAAGCATTTTTTGTTTGTTTTCTTTTTCCTTTTTATAAATATGATTTTTAATTTCTTTCATATTAAATTCGTCCTAATTACTTATCAACGAAATCTGTATATTTGTTAGTGCCTCTTTATTAACAAAATTATAAACAATGCTTAAAGGTTAGGTTGTGTTGACTTAAAAAACATATTTTATTATCCCTGTTGACAGTAAAGGTATAACTGAATCAATCATTATAGAAAGACCAAGTTGCCATCTTTTAAAGTTGAAACTTAAAAATCGATTCCAAAAATGCGTCCTTTATAGCAGGGGTCCGAATAAAAAGCTATGTCATAGGTAAACCAGGAAACTTTCGTTTCGAATTGGTTTATTTAACAATTAATGTTTCCATTTTATCAAACACAAAAAGACATTCTTTGGCGTGAGTAATAATTAATCGTTACAACCTGTTACGAAAATTACGCCCAGTTAGTTGAAAATCATATGGTAGAGCATCTACATAATCTCAAAATGAAAGGCAAGTTAGTGTATTAAGTTACTAAAAAAATACATTCATCTTTTATTCAGAAGCAATTATATTGAGAGAAGCTTTTTTGAAAGTAAATAACTTTAACAGAAATTTTAAAGGACCAAAATTTGAAAGACTGAAGTGTTTTTGTTTTGTCTTTTTAACATAAAAACATATTGCCTCTGCTCTTTCTGCTTACTCTATTCTCACATTGAATGCAGCGTTCAATTCAATGTATTAAAATTAAAGATGCATATTTACTCAACTTAAATAAGCTTTTAGTGAAAATTTGCAAAATTAATAGTTTGCAAACATTTCCAGTTAGGCATACCAATACAGGTATCAGCAAAAAAGTATTCGATGAAGAAAAACTATTCAGACCTTTTTTTCCCAATTAAAAATTACCGTTTCTTAGAAACTTAACAGCAAAAATAACATATTTCTCACGATATTTGTCATTGGCCTATGTAATGGCTTGCCTCTTTCTCTATATCTAGCCATTATGAATCAAATGGATTTAAAAAGTAGAATATGGTGTAAATTTTGTTTAACACTAAAAATTATCCTTTCATTGTCGGAAAGTATTATTCATAACATCTTTTGCATGGAAATTCAAAGTCATATTTTATTTTATGATTCTGGGTTCTCTGCGGAATTTTTATGAATGGTATGGCGTTCCTTTGTTAAAAACATTTAATTTGCCATTTTTCGATGACCGAATTGATAGGAAAAGTAAAGTAATACAAGTTTCACTATTTACTTTCATAAAATTGCAACTTCTCTTTTTGTATTTCTTGTTTTGTGAAAATAAACAAAGCACAGTAAAAAATAAAATAAACAGGTGTACAGTGCGCCAAATAAAAAAAACGAAACACCCTGAATAGCTTTTGATCTAATGATAGAGTCTTCACGTTCTAGGACACAATCTAAATGGCTCGAGGGGGGGACCTCAAATAGGCTAATCAGTAAGTGCAAACAATATTTTAAGTTATGAAATCAGACCCAAAAACGTACTTTCTCTGAATAAACAAACCTTTTTTCGTCGGTTTCGAATTTCTGACCCTAATAACTATAAGTTGATTTTTTTTTTTTTGCATAGAATTATCATTGGATAAATGAATTTCATATTGTGTGTATGAAAAGTTTTCAATTCGCTTAAAAAGTTCTAGAGATGTAGAGAAATATGCAAATGTTGAATTATTAAGGAGACCAAATTATTGTAACCAGAAATCCGAAACCGTCTAAAAAAAGTGTATGTTTATTCGGAGAAAGTACGTTTTTGTGTCTTATTTTGTAACTTAAAATATCGTCTGAACTTATTAATCATCATATTTGAGGTAACCCTCTCAAACCATTATGATTGAGTCCTAGAACGTGAAAATTTGATCACTAGGGATCAAAAGTTATTCAAGCGTAGTATTTTTTTTTCTTTTCTTTTTTTGAGCACTGTACATAACATTGTTCCTATCAAATGATTCGAAAAAGTATATACTTGTTAAAGTTCTGCTCCCATGGCTTCATTTAACATCAGCCAGTAGTTTTATTGTATGCTTGGATTTACATGACTTAAACCAATTTAATTTCACCATATCAAAACTACCTGAAATTGGGTGAGAGGCACGCATACGGAGAAGGTATTTTCAACCGTATAGGAAATATTTACCAGTCTCATCGCTATCGTCTATAAACCAGACAGCTCACTGATATTTTTCTCTAGTGGAATCTTCAATACTGTTTGTCGGGACTAACTGAGATGACTTTTTGTGAGTTGGTTTTTACATCAGCATTGAGTTTTATGGTATTATATAGTATCGTATTCTGGGACAAGCACTGCCAACGAGAAAGATATTCTAAAACATCAGTCAAAGTATAAGCAAAAATGTTTCTCTAAACAACATCAGCAGTATCCATTATACAAACTTTGAGTTGTACAGTGGATCCACTATACAAACTTTGTCGGTTGAAATAATTATGAGCTCATACTTCAATATTACAGCATTTTGATATTGACTATATTAAAAGTTATGCTAACTATAATAGTAGTGAGTACTACTGTTTTAGATGGATCATTAGTAGGCTGTCCATTTAAATGCGAAATTTAAAATGTATAACTTAATTGACTCTTATACTCAATAGTGAAATTTGAGCCATTTTAGCAACAAAATCTCAGTTTAATTTAATTGTGTTCACAAATTTCAGATACAATGTGACCAAATTTCTGTTGAGAACTTAAATTTAATTGAAGCATCAAACATTTCATCATAAAATGGATAGAATTTTGAAATTTATGAAGTAAACATAAATATTTCCTACAAAAATTATTTTAAATTTAAAAAAAAAAAACTGTAATAGTAAAAAACTGTCAATAATAATGTATACATGATGCACAGTAATCACTGCCCTAATGCAATTTTGAATAAAAAGACTCTGTTACAAATCGAAAATTAATATTTAAGTGAGAAAAAGCTAAAATATTTAAAAACTTTTACCAATCACCTTTGAGTTCAAAGGAAGAACTTTTAAAAATAATCCATGGTCAATTTATTGTAACATGAAACTGAAAAGTGCTACCTAGCCAAAGGCAAAAACATTCTAGTTCTATTTAAAAAGTTAACTGGTTTTTGATGATTTTATTTCCTCATGTGCTTTTACAGACTTCATTGATGATTGGTCAGTGTTTAGAAACTTTTTCAGATTTTTTAATTACCTAAATCGTCTTTGACAACTTTCAATGTGAAGTTTTTTTCCCTACAAGTTCGTAAAAAATTATATTAATGGCTATCTTTATAGAACATTTTATACTGCACTTCTATTTTTACTTCTCAACAGTCCTTCGAGAAAGAATAAATTTTTGTTTTCTGGCTGACATTTGTTCTTGAACTTTTGATGATAGTTTAGTTACTAAAAATACAAGTAAAATATTTTTCGATTTAAGTGTCTAAGAAAAATATATTAATTTTTTTATCAAAATAAAATTTCCAATGCAAATATGCTTTCTAATATGAATTCCATTAATATCGCAAAAGAAATTAAGAAACACAGATTTGGATTTACTAGACATGCTTTAAGAATTTATGCTAACCACATAACAAATGTAGCTCTTTCTTCAGCATGTGAAGGTTTCTGAAACAGAGGCAGGTCAAAACTAACTTAGGTTTGAATGACGCTTAAAGACTTTAGACAGAAGAGGCGTTAAAGTTGATGGAAAACTACAGTAGAGTTCAAAGACAGTAAGAGTAGTAGCACCATGATAGAGGACTTATTTTCTAGCAGGCATTGAAACATTAAGGGAAAATAATCATTGTTACAATATACAATCTCTGAAAAATTCATAAGTATTCTAAAAAATATGCAATGCTACAAAAATAAGAATAAGTTGCTGAATTTGAATATTATAATGCTAAAAAATATATAAATTTATTTTTTTGAAAACAGGCAGTTATTTACAATCCATAATTTACAATCGTTTTATTAGTTTCTCTAATTTTTTTATACGACTAGATTCATGTTCTGGAGTATTTGATATTGTTGGAGTGCTGATGATATCATGCTCTTGTTGATGGCCAGTACTAGGCAGAGATGGTTGGTGGGATCTGAAAATTTCTGTCAAGCTATTTATCTCACTCCTCTTTAAACCCTAAACATAAATATGAAATATAAATGCGTGGAAATATTTCATGGTTACATTCATACAAAATGATAATATCATCATTTTGTTATCACATTGGAACTATTGCCGTTTCAAGAAAATTTTACGGTCAATGTGTCAAGAAAAGTGTATAAGAAAACCCTACATTCAATGTATGCAAAACTATGTATAAAAAAAATTCTACACTCAATTCATGCAGAACTATGTTAAATAATATTCAACATTCAGAGTATGAGAAACTATGCATAAAAAAATTCAAAACTCCCATTTTTCTAATTAAAAATAAATCAAAACTACTAAATAATGGATTTATTTTACTAATATATTAATTTTTTAACAATAGAATATTTTGACTATTGACAGAAAATTTTATGAAAAAAAAAACATTTTTTAAATGAATTAAAGAGATAAAATAATTTTGTTTTACTCATCTGTATTCGTTTTGAAACACTTGGGAGAATCTTAGATGATAATATAGTTTATAGCAAAAGTAATTCCTCATTAAATTGTCCTTGATGAGAAAAAATAAAAGTTTTTATTTCACACAATAAAATGTGCCTTTCAAACATTTTTTTAATTTCTTTTTCAGTAAGTTTATTTAAATTTAAAATGAATCATAATTTTTATTGTCAATACAATCATTTTGTTTACAAAATAGTGATAAATTCCGTGTGGCGATCAGGAAATGATTGAAACTAATATTGCAATTTGGCACAGAACTCCACCTGATATTCAAGTACTCAAGCTAATTGGAAAGTTGTCGATGTTTCTATTGATAAATTTCGCAACTAGAAGTTAGGAAATGATTGAAATTCGTATTGTCCTCCGACATGGAGCAATATTTTTAATTTGAAAAAAGTGGAAATTTTGATAACAAAAATCTTAAATCACAGGTATGAAAGAAATTTAAGTAAAGCATAGAAAGAAAGAAAAACAAATCAAGATAACCAAATTAAATTGATCATAATCTTTATAGAAATAATTAGACTAAAATTTCCCGCTAAGAAAGCAAATATATAACCATGGCATGCTCATTTATTAGAAAATGTAGCTAACTCAATAATTGATTATATTACATGCTTATCAAACATTCAAATAACACAAAGTTTTAAATATTTTTATAATAACAAATATAGTCTATAGAATTGAATAAAATTTCAATAAAAAGTGGAATTATAATTCCAAGTAGTCCATATAATAATGGACAACTAGTCAAATTTTAATTTTCTGTAATAGCTAAGTAGCTGTTAACCAAGCTTAAAGCATAAATGTAAATATTTTCCTCATAAGTTCTCATGTCTTTGCTCTCAATATAGCTTGTTGAGCTTGTTACCTAATAGAACCGGCTGAACCCTGTTCCTTGATTCGGAGATCACCTTACTTATGAGGCAAACATGAACATTCAAATCCAAACAGTCAAGAGGCTTCCCCCCCAATCATGTTATGTATTATGTTAGAAAATCTTTATACATTAAATCATAGAAATGAAATGTTTTTAAATAAGCTTAAAACTCATTTCTGTCATCAGATTTTCAATGTACCACATTACTAAGGATTTACATTTTTTGATTAAATCTTTTTTAATGTATGTGTAAAAAGCTTGAAAAGGAAGAGTTATTCATGTGTAACATTAGATAATACAGAAATAATAATTACCTTCATATCAAGAACTTTCTGGAATTCTGTGATGTCAGATTCTGGTAAAAATTTAATGTAATCATCAACAAAACTTTCTTTTTCATGTGGAGCCATTACAACCTAAAAAAAATAATAATATAGTTAGAGATAGTACTCTAGCTTAAATGCATGCCAAATTTAATTTAAATTTCAAAAATTATTAATTAAGAGTATAAATAAAGAAGGGAACTGAAATGTAGGCATTTTTATTTCACAAGATCACTTTTTAGAATTCAAAGTAATCCAAAGGTGGGTTTTAACCTTCTTTTAAACCAGGAATTTAGATAAAAATTATTTCTAATAAAATTTATGTCTCTGTAGGAATAATAATTTTTTTTTCTTTGAACAAATGTTTAAGAATATGTCTACAATGCTTAAAAATCTTTTTTCCTTGTATTTTTTTCCTAATATTCATTAATTTAAGTTTAAAAAAAAGTTTAATATTTACTAAAATGTTGGATGCCAGCTAAATAATTTAGGCGCTGTGGGTACCCAGGAGGTGTAGATACCTNCAAAAATTGAAAATGTATCACGAACATTAACGGGAAAATGGCCGTCGGCGCGGACGCTGGATTCGAGAAATTTGTTGTCAGCGGGGAATTTTTGACCGCCGAGGACCGGCGGTTTTTCGAGCCCTGGTTTTAACCTTCTTTTAAACCAAGACGAATTTAGATAAAAATTATTTCTAATAAAATTTATGTCTCCGTAGGAATAATAATTTTTTTTTCTTTGAACAAATGTTTAAGAATATGTCTGCAATGCTTAAAAATCTTTTTTCCTTGTATTTTCTTCCTAATATTCATTAATTTAAGTTTTAAAAAAAGTTAAATATCTACTAAAATGCTGGATGCCAGCTAAATAATTTAGGCGCTGTGGGTACCCAGGAAGTGTAGATACCTGACTAAATCTATTTTTATTTCTTAACAACATTGCCTCTATTCAGAATAATATTTCTCTTTACTTGTCATGTCGTAACATATTGCTACCTCTTGCTTCTCTCTATAGTCTTAAAACAAATTATAGAATTTTAACAAATGTTTACATTTTTACAAACATGTAAACAATTTGATAAAAATATGGAGAAAAAATATCCAGCAATTACGAAAGTTTTAACAGAAATAGTACAATAGGCTGAGGACTACTTAGCCACTAGTTGTCCTACACACTTCAGAAACCATTTCAATCAATTAAACAATCTTTATATTTTTACACATATTCATGTAAACCATTCACTAACAATACACAAAAGAAACCTTCTTGAGACAAATTTATAAAATTACAAATAACTAAAACACAAAACATGTAATCTCCTTCTTTAGAGCTACATATAGTTTATTCTGTTGCGAAAAATTAGTACTTTTCTCTAATTACAGTTAGTTATTAAATATAGAGCATTAATGTATATTCATTAGAGTATCTTACCTTTAAAATCATCTCAGCTTTGGTCATACCTTTCACAACAATTTTTGTATACCTAAAATACAAATTCAACTTTAGACACATGAGATTTGTTATGGAAACCAGATTATTTTTATATAACTTTATATGATTAACTGGAACAGAAAGCAATATTATAATAATATATTATTATCATGAAACAGGGGTACAAGGATGTAAAGTGGAGCTACGGAAACAAGAAAATGCTTGTGAAATCTGGTTGCCTTCTAAATTTATGATTAGTACAAGATAATTTAACATTAAAAAAACACAACTCGCCAAAATTGTTTTAAGATAATCTTTGAGAAGGGAAAATACTTCTAAGGCTAACTTTTTTTTTGCGGAATTTTATTTTATCATTAGAGTAACACACTTAATGCCTCTATATGTTGGTGTTTTAAATAAGGATTCTTCTTATCATATGTTTAAATGCTTTCTCCTGAACTTTTTTAATACTTATACAATAATATCTTCACTGGAGAGAATAATGGGCAACACTGGAACCTATTTGGCAATAATTATATATCAAAACACTTTTAATAATGTAAAACGATTAAAAGAGTGGTAAGTATTTTTAGTTTTTAAAATTCTTTCTCATCATTTAATACTTTTAAGTAATAAAAAAATATTTCTAAAATAGTACACCTTATTACATTTATAATATTGTACTAAATAAATAAATCCATTTTCCTTATGAAATCTAAAATCTCATTAAGTGGCGTATCATTATACATGAATCCTACTGTATTATACTTTTCATTATTATAATAGTATTATACTATTTTCATATTAAATTTAATTTGCATTAACATTTCATTCAAGTATTTGAATTCAGATAAAGGCTTTAAAAGCACTTTTACTAGCATTAAGATAAAACAGACATATAATGGGATTTTCACTTTTTTAAATAATTTTGGTTAGAAAATTCCAAGTCTCTATAAGTTCTTGATTAAGCTGCATTTTTTGAAATACTATAAATAATAGAAAAAGAATATAAAAAATTTTCGGAATACATTTTTTTGAAAAAAAATTTATTAGTATTTATAATTGTTTCATTTTGATATAGATAAAGAAATTTTTAAAAAATTTACAAAAAACTTTTGAACACTTGAAATTTTTTTATTGGAAAAATTTAAAGGCTGAAGCAAAGAAGAAAAAATTTGAAAATAACAAGCTGACATTGAGATGCATTATTTGTTATCGCATTATAGCATTATTGCATTGTAGCATTATTTGCTAGCTGTAAAAGACTTTACCTATTACAGCTATGTTTGTGTTATACAATACCAATTCAGGGAGAAAAATTAAAACTATTGTATTTAAAGTTCTTACATTGGAGGTGGCTTTCTCATTGATACAGATCCAAGTGAGGGCAAATCCAGTAAAATTGTTTTAAGCATGTGAGTATCCAACAACAGCTATTGGTAGAAAATTTTCATTTGAATAATTAAACAACAAACAGTTCAAGATACAAGTAATACAAGAATGTGAATTATATTTACCTGCTCAGCTCCAATTGGACTAACTGGCTTACATTTGAAAAGGTGGCAAATAAATTTAGGTATGAATGAACTAAAAAATGATATAAAACGAAAAATATAACTTATGTGTATAAAATCACTAAAATTTACACAATTTTATAAGAGAATTATCAGAACTGTAACTTTTATGAGAAATATGATAAATAATTTAACTAATCATATTTTTTAATTTAATTCTATGGCTCAAATTCTCCAGTAAAGGAGTTTGATTTGCAATGATTATAAAGCAACAATTTTTTAGGTTACGAAAAAAAATTGGACCTACAGTTTTTGCAATTTTGGTGTAGTATAAAACTATAATAAAAATTATTTGGAAGATTTTTTTTTAACTTAAAATTAAATCAACATGTAATTGTATTTCATAAATAACCCTTTTTAATGTCATATAAATAATTTATAAATAAATTGATAACTTACTCATCTCCAATTTATTTGACAAAAATTCTAAATTTTTTGTTAAATCTCTCCAGAAAGTCTCTAATAATTATTTATGAAATGTAACATTTAAATCAAGTTTGAAAGATAATAACAATAAATTAGGACACATTTCGTGAAATTTGAGAATAAGAGCATTCTTTGGGGCAGGTTAAAGCAGCTAAAAGGATTTTTGGCACCACTAACAACACTAGTATTTGACTATTCTTATCAAACTAGAAACTAATTTTTCAAGTAAAACAGGTATTTACACCTTTTCAGACTATTTACCACTTATTGAATAAAATATTCAGAATTCCTCTAAAAATTAAATAGTAATTATCTTCATTGTTAACTATATTGATGAATTATTGAAAGTATATATCCATATTAAATTTACAAATTTATTCCATCATCACAAATAATAACTAAAAATAAGAATTCTGAGAGTAAATCTCCTTTGTTCACATTTTGATTATTTTCATTAACTAATAAAAATATAAAATATAAATATATATTAATTAGCAAAAAGATACAATTTTCCCCTTATGATATAAAGAATTAGCAATGCAAATAATCAGATAAAATTAACATTTAAAAAGTAGTCACCAAAATTGAGTATATTTTCTAATGAAAACATTATAACTTAAAACAAGACAAATCTGGTCAGCAGGTGTTCTTTTCAAACACAATTAATATTGAACTTCATTAATATTTAAAGTTCCCCCAAAGCTTGTTTTTCTTTAACAACTCTTGTCCTTTCAACAACTCTTTTAGATTGCTTATTGAGGCAAAATATTGAAGTAGCAGCAAGAAACTTTTAAAAAAAATAAATAAATAAATTTCTTACACTTACACTGTCATTCTGTCAGATTGCAAACATTAAAAAAAATGTTTATAAAAAAGTTTTGTTTGTTAAAAAGTGTCTGTAAAGTAGGTAACATAGATGTGGACATCCCGTTATGAGTCTTTGTACTGTATAACAATACAGTAGAATTCCTAAAATCATACAAATTATTCAATTTGAGCTAGAATATTATTAAATTTTTCTGATTATTTCATAAGTTAAGCCTCTTACATACTAAAAAACAAAATTATTATACTATTCATTAATAGCCTATACTACTTATAAAATATTTTAAGCCTCATTAAAAAGTATATATCAGTATAAGTTGAATATCAATTTTGGTCATTAAACATGCTTTATAGCAAACTTATTTAATATAAATATGGTAATTAACAAGATAATTTTTAGGGTCCTTTTTATTTGTGTCTGTAAAAACTTAAAGCATTTTAATTCATTTAAATTTATTTCATTTAAAAACAACAACAACAAAAAACTTATTTTACTAATTTATATTTTGTTAAATGAACAGATGAAAAGAAGCACAATTATGATCTTCCCAAATTCGTTACTGTTACTTAAATCAATGCTAACAACTAATTTTACTTTGCATCGCAATAACATTTAAATAAAAATTAAATTAAATTTTTTTAAAGAAATTTATATGCAATAGTATGAGCACTACATGATTTGATAAGTTTCCAAATTAATCGAGAAAAACTTACTTTGCAAAATTCATACAAAATTTAGTAAAATATTTCCTAGATGTTGACAAATTATCTCGAAGTAGAGGCAAGGTTTGTCTAAGATGTGCTGTTATTGCTGTGACATAACTACTCTCATCCCCAACAGCTTCAAAAGCAGCCCACTGAATCTGAACATTGATGAAAAAATAAGTTAACACTACATATTTATATAAAAACGAAATTATATTGCTAAAACTTCAAACAATCCTAACAAGCAAATTTTTCTTCAAGACAAATTAGATAAATGAAAAGTGAAGCCTAAAAAGATTTTAATCAATGTAACATGTTAGTGAATTAAGACTGTTAAGTAACGGCTTAAAGCTGTTTAAAAAAAAAGCATTTTCCTGTTTAAAACACAATTACTTGACTTGGCAGGGAAAAAATAAGTTTTATGCAGACAGCTGACCAGTTATGTAACTAAAGCTTGAAAACAGGGTAAAAAATCCCCTTCCTATTGAGTTACAAACTCTTAAAAAGTTTTAGTCAGTTAACTTTAAATTCTTTCAAAGTTAATTAAATTCAAAGTTTCTATGAATGTTTATTTATACTTATTTGTGTATTTTTTAACAAAACTAAATGAAATCTTTTTTTTATACTATGATAAAGACAAAAAAAAATTGACCTTTTCATAATTTCCACCCAAATTTGACCTTTTCAAATGAGAGTCAAATGGCGAACTTCTCATTCCAGTTTTCAGGAGTTAAAAAAATATCTATACTTCACTGTTTTACAATTTTACAGCTCTTGAAAATTTTATTATCTAGAACATAGATTAAAAACAATACAACTCTATTTTATAAGTTGTAAAAAATAAAATAACAGAGCATTGTTTAAAAACTTAATTTCTTATTAAAAATGGCATTATTTAATGATTCAGCATAAAAGTAACTGGTATTTAACTTCAAATGAGAGAGTAAACTCTCTTATCACTATGAAAATTAAAAAGAAGTTGAAATTAATTATTTTTTTCATTAAAGTTTTTGAAGTGATAAAACATTTATCATGTAAAGTTTTGGCAAATGGAAATAAATTTATTACACATCGATAGCATTTTGTAACAATCAACTTTTTTTTAAATGGTGAACCAGCTTGGGAAACAAAGGATATGTTTAGAGAAAAAAATTTCCAGAAATATTGGGTTTTATCGTGATTTTGCAATAATTGCAAAAAGGAAATGGACTATGCCAATGTGAATTGTAAAAGAAACAATTGCGTTAGCAAAGTGGCATCTAGATGAGCTTTAAGTTATCCAATTTTTTTTTAATAAAAATTTCCTCCATTTTTTTTAGAGTTACTTGATACATTGTTTCTTTCTCCAAATTCTTCAAATATGAAACAATGATGGCACATGACAAACACTTCAATCATTTATAAATTACTAAAATTAAACAAATGGTTTAATTGCTAAAATCAAATTTTAGTTTATTCCTATGAAAAATCACTAAAGAAAAATTTGAATTTTAGAATATCTCTCTCTTCCTCTCTGGTCTCTACATATGATCTCTAGATATCTGGTAATATATATTATTCTAAGGGATACTATTATTAAAAACTTTGATTTATTTTATATGAAAATAACACTCCTAAGAGACACTAAACATCATGATTTATGGGTGCCCTTTAAAACTTAGAGAACTAGAGAATAATTCCAATTTGTAATATATTTTTGACTTTAAAACATTATACCTTTATGTGTAATGAAATTAACACAAACAAATTAACACAAATAGAATTAAATAACAACACATAGCATAAAATTTCCTCCAGATGACTTTTACACAAATGCTGTTTTAAGATTATTAAATTTGTCTAGAATTGAACGACTATAATTGCAAAAGTGCAAAAAAAAAAAAATTCTCTGCTGTTTCAGCCATACAGAAAGAAATCCCTCAAATAACATTTCTATTTACTATCCCCCTCCCCCTCCACCTTATGAGTAAGGAAGTAACAAATATAAAGATGAAGACCAGTACTTTTATTTACCTTATTCATGGCCGTTAATGCAGGCTCACATGCAAGTTCAAGATTTTGTACAAGAAGGTGGATGCAATTAGATATCACACTGCAATACATAAATATTTTTAGCAAATTATTTAAACAAAAAGACTGCTGCAATAAATGTAATGAAGACTAACTTAAATTGTGTCTCCAAACACATATCATATTAGAATTACAATGACAAAAATTTAGGATTTAATCATTACTTATGAAACACATCTTGCTCAGAAACAAGATTGATCTGATTAGCCAGGGTTGGGTCAACTTTTTCCTTCAGTTTGCTTTCCAACTAAAAGAAAAAAGAAAACATTTAATAAAGTACAAACATCAAAAGTTTTAGACCTAAATTTCAAAATTAAGTATTAATTTATTCTTTTTTAAATGTAAAAAAATGCTTAATTGAGTACATTTCAAGAATTTGTTAATTTCATAACACAAGTGGATTTTTTTTTCAATGCAATAAAAATAAAATATTAAACAAAATAATTTTTAAATGAAACCAAAATGGCTAAATATAAATAACCCATAATTTTTTGGTATCACTTCAGCAAATAATCAGTTTTCAGATTGAACAAAAAAGAAAACAAATTATTAACCTTCAATAATAACTTAGCTTCTTAGAGGAAATTTCACGCTTATGAAAAGAATTATTAGATATAATTATTTGACCGAAATTTATATTAGTCTCATAAAACAAAAATAATGCTTTAAATGAATTATTTTTGCTAAGCTTTTCTAAATTATGATTTTAATTACATATGATTACTCTTTTAATTAAGTATGATTAAGATTTCATAAATTATGAAATTGGGTTTTTAGGTTCAAAATTGATTCTGGTAAATAAAAAATCCATTTTCTATGACACATTGTATGCATGATTGCTGAATGAAATTTTAAAAAAAAGTCTTATTATTTAGTACAATAGAAGAATATTAAATTTATAACATATGTTATTGATTTTTCAAAACAGACCTGCAGAGTCGTTTCCAAACAATAATCTGCAGTGGTCAAAATACTGCACACTTTTATTTGTTCTGCTGGGCTGAACTTAGTTATTTCACCCTCTTTCAATAAACTTTGAATTAAATTGGTAGAAGTAGTAACATTTCCAACTCTAAAATACAAAAACAGTAGGAAAACATAATTAAAAAAATTTTCAGCTAATTAAATGGAAAAATATCTTAATAAACACTCTAAATAGGATGAAGCTTACAAAATATCAACAAAAAAGGAGAATTCAAAAAAGCAAAAAATAATCTAGAATAATATTCTAATATAGAATAATATTCTACCTTAATAATAGCATATTCAATATGCTTTCCGGGTTCAAGTGAGAAATTTTAAAACGTATTGAGAAATAAAAACAATACATTTTTTTTTAAAAATTAAAAAGAAAAAATGTGTTGCAAATTGGCAACAATTTCCCGAAATGCATACAAAAAAGAAATTATTTTAAGAATTATTAATTATTTTGTGTTTAAAAAAAAGAAGAAAAAAAGAGAGAGAGGGTGAGAGATAGTATTCATGCAGTCAGTATAACATCAAGGACAATGGTGTAAAAAATGCTTGGAAAGTTATATGTATTTTTAGACTCTTACTGTGCTTGAATAAAAAAGCATACTCTAATGCCCTTTTAAATGCCATTTATAAATCATTATAAAATAGCAGAGCTATTATTATTGTTACACATGTAAGGCTATGTTATTTGTTAAAACTGAGTACAATGCCAGTTAAAAGATAAAAACTGATTTTTATATAAAATATTACTGCTAATAAAGATAAAAATAATTGACAATTCATTATTAAATAAACAAACTAGTTGGGTGAGATCTGAAACAAAAAAAAATGAACAATAGAAAAAAACATTGTTAAACAAAGTGTTAGGATTGCAATGACTCATAAAAAAGTAAAAACTGGTGGTCAATTAAGATGGGGGAAACATTGTCTTATTTTATCGATCACGCTTATGTTATCTATTTAATCTTATCTTATATTATCTATTAGAAAGGATTTCAATTAAATATAAATTTTCCATAAGTAATATTTTGCGGTGGTCATTCCGGAAGCAGAATTTGCGAAGTGAACTTACAGCACTATTTTCATAAATGTAAATTTGTCTGGAACCTCATTGCAGACAGGCAAATATTATTATTGTACAAAATACAGCATAATTTAACATACAGGTAGCAAAATTTGCAAGTATGCAAATCGTTGCGCATATAAGCTTGATGTTGTTTAAATTTAAGTTGAATTTCATTCAATGATACTAAAAAAAATCTATTCAGTTAAGCCTGTAATCAAGTAACAGAAAAAAAACACTTACTTTCGTTCTTTGCTGTGCTTCCTAAATTCAGCTTTCAAATTTTTAATCAAAACAAATTTAAAGACGTTTTAAAAATAAATCTCACATTTTTTAAAAATTTTTTGTTTGCTTTTAAGAAATAAAATAATAGTTGAAAAACAATCTACGGATGCTATAATTATCTACAGAGCCTGCTGCCATGCAGGAGAATTTCTTCGACCGGGTGGGTCCCCATTACATATCTTTCATAAAAAACAGATTGATAATAATTTTTAACATATTACATCTTCTCAAAAAAACTTATTTTTTATTATTCTTATACTTCATTTTAAAAATAATTTTTTTCACTTTCAATGGGCTAATATGAGTTCTACAAGTAAACGTTTACACTATTCTAAAAATACTAGAAACTATATTTTCTGAATTCTATAATTTGTAATAATTACTTTGGTAAACTATTCTGCAAAACCCTTTGAGCATATTCTCGAAGATACTTCTGGAATGTAGCAGTCAAGGCCAACATTGGCTGTCCAATACTCAATTGAGAACATTGCACTAGGCATTTTTTGTAAAAAACAAAAAGTTCTGCACAGGATGGCAAAACGTTAGCTCGATCTATTTCTGGTTTTGGAAGTTCCGCTTTCTGCATATCTTCAACAAATTGATCCATTAACTGGGCAAGATTTCTATAAAATATTTTACACACATAATTTTAACATAGTACACTTTTTAACATTAAAATAAAACAATAATGAAATTTTAAAAAAGAGGATACAACGAACTTAAAACCAACCTGTCTTGGTATTCAACATAAATATTAAGATGTGGTTCAAAACATCTGGATATAATGCCTTGGAATGGATTACTGACTTTAACAATAGATGTCTGAGGGGAAAAAATAATTTTTGTTTGAGAATTGAATTTGTAAAATTTAAAATAAATTTCTGCCTTCATAACCAGAAGTAGATTATTTTTTTTTATAATAACATTGGATTATCTCAAATTTCAATAATTTTCAGTACTTGTTGGAAGAAAATTACTATCAGAAGCAAATTTGATTATAATGAGAAAAACTGAATTATAAAAAAAAATAATGATAATAATTTTTCCATGCCACCAACTAACAAAAAAAGACTATCTTCAAATTTGCAACAGTAAAATTATTCTAGTTCCAGAGAATAAAAAATTTTAAAAAAATTGCCTAAACACATTTTCTATGTTTCTCCTTTTACATCCAAAATTATTACTATCATTATGGTTTACTACAAAAAATTCATTAAGATTAGTGTCTTGCCAGCTAAATATCAGCATATATAAATAAAAATAAATCATTCCATTTATTGTCCTTTAAATTTATACCTTCAATTTATAAAAATCTGAGCAAATATCTCAGAAATTATTTACATTTTAATATTGAGCTTAAACTTTATAATAATATTGAAGATACTGGTGGATTTGCTCCATTTTTAATTATCCCCATAACAAGTGAGTCTTTTTTTTTTATTATTATTTATATGAAATTATTATAGTACTACTTAATAGGATTATCTTTCCTCATAAACCTCATTTCCATTCTCTAAAGAACTAATATTAAATCCAATCCATGTTAAATTAATGAATTTCATTTTTATAAAAGATGAAATTTTTTCAAATTCATATTTCTGAAATTGAGATATGAAAAAAACTATTTTCAACATATTTATCAATAAAAGTTCCTTAGAATACCATGTTTAATGTGTACATTAAATATAGGATATATATGCATATACAAATTCAATGTATTGAAAAACCTTTATTATTAATTATGTTCTAACAATGTTATTGTTTTAATTTTCAGTAATTGACGAAAATGTTGAAGTTAATGTCAAAAACTTTAGAGTTTTGTATACAGCAAATTATAATTCTGAAAAGTATGTAAAAACGTTTACATTTTCAGAGAGTACTTATACAATAAAGTAAATAAAATAAAAACACTTACATCTTCAGCAGTACTTTTATCTGATGATGGTGTATCCACATCTTTTTTCATGTCCTCTTTAAAAGGATTTGAGTCATCATTATCTTCAAATGGATTAGGACCCTATAGAAAATTTCAACAAATAAATTTGTCAACAGAATGGCCTGATTATGTACATAACAAAGAAATAACATATGAACTTCTAGAATAAAAAAGAATATTAATCACGGAAATTTTGGAAAACTTTAGCCTTTAAAAGGATTTGTGTCATAATTATCTTCAAATGGATTAGGACCCTATAGAAAGTTTCAAAACAATTAAAAGAAATCTATCAACACATGGGCCTGATAATGTAAAAATCAAACAAAGAGAACATATCAATTTCTAGAATTAAAAAAAATACTAATTACTGGATTTTCAGAGAATGAAAATGCATTTTAGATAGCAATTATAATAAAAAAATTTAAATTTTACAACTTCTTTAAAATATACATATTAAATAAAATGCTAAATTGTAAATAAACAAAAAATTTAAACTTATTTTAACATGGATTTAAGGAATTTAGAAAAACTTCAAGTATTCTAAACACTTTTTATTCACATCAATCTAATTTTTAATTCCCCATGCTAAGTGTCCTAATCCTACATTAAAATAAAATAACTAAATTTAATCCGAACTAATCATTTAAGAAATAGGGTGATTCAAAAACTAAAATTTCATTGCACAGTTGAACTTACCTATTGTTAGCCAGAATTTAAAGAGATCCTAGATATGATACAACAAAAACTTCTTTTAAAAATCACTAGTTTAAATGTTATAAAATCGATATTAAACTCTACGGGGTAAAAATATGGGTCACCATATGGTGACTAAATATAAAAATGGAGATCAAAAGTTTGTTAGTTGTCACCGGATTGCCATTTTTTCAATCAATTAGTTAATTAAAAATTAGCCACATTTTATAAAATTTCATTTATAAAATGTGCTTAATTTCATTTATATATGAAAAAAATATTCCCTGCAACCTTACAGGTATAAATCAATTTAACTCATATTTCATTCAGTAATTTTCAAACAGTATGAATAGTTTTTCAAGCCTAGAAACGTAAGTGTTGCAAAATTTTTATTGAATATTTGCAAATTTGTTCCTAAATTTTCATAGTTCATATTTCTTAAGCTCTGATGTCAACACATCAATTACCAAATTCATTTATACTCATGGTATTCATATTGACTACAAACTAGGTTCTACAAGTTTCCAACAGCGTTTGAAGAAAAAGAAAAAAGAAAATACTTAAAATGTGACAAGTATTTTTATTAATTTTTTCTTCTTTTTTCAAACAAATTGTGATTTTTTTTCAAATTAATAACAAAGCTGAACTGAAAATATCTAAGCATTGTTTACATAATTATTATTTTTTCTAAGTAAATTCTTAACATAAAGCAACATAAACATAACACAACATAAACATTAAGTTAAATTAATTATAATTATGCAAAATTTATTAAACATTAACCAAATAAATAGATTTCTTACATGGGTTTATTAAAACTTTCAATCATTCATCATTAATTAGAATTGCTTAATAATAATGGAAATTATTCTTTCAACAAATAATCTAAAATAAAAAAATAATTATGCTTATTTTAGTTAACAACATATCATGTATCATGATATTAATATACTAGTTATTTACTAATTATGTAATGGAATTATTGAAACTTTTAGTATTAGGGATTTATTTAACATCAATTGAATAATAATTCATTACTTCATCTTACCTCTTTTTTTGTAAAGTGCTGAACAATTGTAGAATCTAATGTTACACCTGAGTATCTACGAGCCAAAAGAGATTCAAAACTTGTAGTTTTTTGAATGGCAAACAACAATAATTGGACATTTAATTCATCTCTACGAGAAGACATCAGTTTTCCAAGCTCTCTCCTGAAATTCGACAAGATTATTTAAATTATTGTTTTGAAATTATTGTTCATAATTTTAAAAATTGCAACAAAAAAAATTTATCACCTTTATTTCTGAAAATCAATATCATATTAAACTCTCAACCATGCGAAATCAATTTATAAAAATAATAATGAATTAAATAATATAAACTCGATATCTGAACAAAAACAAAGAGAACAATTCACATTCTTCTCACCGTTTATTAGCTTAAATATACTACATTGTTAAGAATTCAAAAATATTTAATTACTGATCATATTATAGAATAAAAATTAATCTCAAATAATTTTTCTAATTAAAATAATCTCAAAAAGTTTTTTTTTCCTTATTTTGAATTTTAAATACACAAGGGTGAAAAATATGATTTCACAGAAGATGCAATAGAGGATGTTTGTGGGCCGCCTCTGATACAACACAGATCACTGCAACTCTCCCAAAAGCATGAATTTTAGAAAATCATTCAAACACAATAGGTATAGGCCTTACATACGAATAAAAAAAGAAGAAAAATTCAACGTCTGGATAAGTTTAGTGTCAAAAATCTTTAAAGGGTAATTAAATTCTGCAAGAACACAAAGGTATGATTTACAGTTTCATTAAAAACTAATTTACTTGCCTTGTTATATGGCAAAACTCTACAGCAATATGCTCGCTGACTTCCCAATCAGGAGGAAACATACGACCAAATTTTTCTTCAAATTCTATCAAATGTTTCTTCAACCACTGATACCGTTTGTCAATTTTATCAAGCCATGCAATCTAGATACATGAAGAAAAAAAATTCAGTACAAATAAAATGGAAAAAAGATTTTAAAGTGAAATTCAGATTACTAAATGATATAATTAAGATTAACTATTTTAAATATATATAATTATATTATTTGTTTAACTATTATTATATTATTTCCAGTGATTTTATGCAAAAACTTAACAAAACAAATGGGAGAGAAAAAAACAATCTCACATCTTGAGTCTCTTGAAAGAGATGGGTATACTCTGAAAGTTGATTGCTGACAAACCACTTTAAAAGATCACGCCTAGAAAAACAATACAAAAAAACTAATTACTTTTCGAAGCACAAATAATTTAATAAACATGTTGTCAGATAAAAATATAACTTGGTGATAAAAATATTGATTTATCATAGCCTAAAATTGATCCAAATAAAATCTAATCAATTGATAAATCAATAGAAATAATAAGATTATTGATCTACCAAATTTCCAATATCAAACATTTTTTAATGTCTCCCTCTGACTTAATGAAAACAAAGTATATCTGTATCATAAATAATTTATTGACATATTGTAGTTTTTTTCCTTGCTTTTACTTGAAGATTATCTGCAGCATGTTAACAGATTCGTAATTTTGTAACCACAGACTTTTGGTTTACAATAATATCAAAAGGATACAATTATAAACATTCTATGTAATTTATAGGAATAATAAAATGATGGTATGCTTGTTTTTTTTTTCTGCTTTTTTTTTTTTTTTTTTTTTTTTTTTTTTTTTTTTTTTTTTTTTTTTTTTTTTTNTTTTTTTTTTTTTTTTTCAAAAAACTTGAACAAAATATGCAAATTTATTTTTTTATCTAAGAAAGTTATAATAGTGGCTTTTAAAATTCTTTATTCAGTTTCAAAACAAAATAAATGCAACTATTTGCCAAAGCAAATAATCATTTCTGCAACAGATAAACTGAAAATATTCAATGAAATTCTGCAGCAGGTAATTTATAAGATAACATTCCACTTTTTTTCTTAGAATTTCTGTTGTTGTTGTTGTTACTTTACATCGCACTAGAGCTGCACAATGGGCTATTGGCGACGGTCTGGGAAACATCCCGGAGGATGATCCGAAGACATGCCATCACAATTTTGATCCTCTGCGGAAGGGATGGCACCTCCGCTTCGGTAGCCCGACGACCTGCGCGCGAAGTCGAGCACTTTACGGTAGCACAGTTTAACGAGGACCAATACCGCACACCCTCGGTCCCTACGCAGACTGATCCAAGTGGTCACCCACCCGCACACTGACCGTAGCCAGTGATGCTTGACTTCGGTGATCTGCTGGGAACCGTGTCTTAACGATCAGTCCACTGCGGGACTCTTAGAATTTCTATTTTCCTGAATGATAATGGCCAAAATGCTTTTCTAGTCAATAAAGTAATTTATTAACCATAAAACACGAAAAAGTATCAGCTATGTCTATCTTAAAAATATCAGACTGTTGCAATGTATAAAAATACACAAAATAATTTATATAAAACAATGAAGAGGATACTTATTATCTTAATGCTTACTTCACTTTTGGTTCAAGAATTGAAACCACTAAACATGCTTCAGCTAACTGCTGATTTGCTACAAAGTGCTGAAAATGGAAATAAATTGGAATTAAACTGTAAAACTCTAATTTAAATAGTATAAATTTAAAATATTCAATACAATATAACAAATAATAATACACTAATACAATGGTTAATGATTTCTGGAATTCTAGGAATATGTAAAAAATATAAATTTATCATGGCAGTATAAATGTACAAAACACAGCAAATATAACTAATGGAACCATAAAAAGTTATAATATAAAGTTATTATAATATCCTCAAAAATTATGATGTTGAAATTTTTAAAAAAGTTTAAAAAAAAATGGCTAGAAATATTTTTTAGTAAAAATGTAACTAAAATAAAATGTTATTTTACATAGAAGTAAGTTTTAAAAATAAACGAGTTACATTTTATTCAAAATATCTTACAACTTTTAGAAATATACAAAAAATAACATAAAAATATATGAATACTTTAGTTTTCTTAGAGCTCAGATAATATTAAACTTGAAAATTATATCCATTAGAAAGTTTGAAAGAACATGAAACAAGATCGGAATTCATTTAGAAAGAACTCATTTCTTCCAGAATGCTGGAAGAAAATTGGAAAACCTGGAAGTAATGGAAAGAACTTAACAAAATAGAAGAAACTAAAAAGGATCCAATACAGAATATGGAAAAGAATAACAAAGTAGATAAAAAAAATATTACATTATTTTACCTTAGAACTTGGACCAGAAAAGGCATTATAGAAATCATTAGTAATCTGTTCAGTAAGCTCAGCTTTAATGTGTTGAGATCTAAAAGTAAAAATAAAAACAGTAAGCAAAAAATAAACATAAAAAAACATAATTAGTGAATTAACATAAATTTAGCATACTTCTCAGATAAGTGAGCAATCTGCGGAATTCCCATGTATTTTTGAAAGTGATCTAAAACATTTGTCACACCTTGAAGAAGATTAGCTATTTCCCCATACTGCCTCTTTTTCACTAACATTCTATCGGAAAACATAAATAAAATGCATTTATTTCATTTCTAACAATTTGTCGTTAAATTAGTGTATTTAAAAAAACAAGGATATAAAATATAAGGACATACTGCAGCTTTTCTACTCCATCTACAAGCATGTGAAGTTGATTTAAAGTTAGAATGGAAGCAGTTAAATGCCTTTTAGCATGGTCAAGTTGTTTAATGTCTCGAGTGATTTCTTTCACCTGTAAACAATAATAATTTCATATTTTTCAAAAATAATAAAAAGATCTGATGAACTTGATAATAACAGCCAACTTTTTCCTAAGGAAAAAATATATTACAGCTTGTTACACCTCATTACTACACCTAATTTAATAAATAAATTCATTATAAACAAAAAAAGTACTAAGATTTAATGCATGATAAAAAAAATAATAATTTTAATTTTATTTAAAGAAACAGTTACACATTAAAAAATCAGTCATAAAACATTACTGATTTCATTGCTTAAAGAAACTGATTTAAAACACAATATAAGAAAACATAAAAATTGAAATTAGAAAACATAAAATTTGAACAAATACATATATTATACATTAAAATACATAAAAGAGTACATTAACAGAACTTAGAGTAAAAGAATTTAAACCTATTATGAAATGGATAACAAAATACATATTACATCTTGTCGCACATCATTACTACATCTAATTTAACGAATAAGTTCAGTAAAGACAAAAAATATTAAAATTTAATAGATGATAAAAAATAATAATTTTAACTTTATCTAAAGAAAAACAGTTATATAATAAAGAACAGCAAGTTTTAAAATGTTGCTAATTTCATTACTTGAAAAAAAATTTATTAAAAAGATACTGTACAAAAAAAAAACTAACATTTGAATTATAAAAACAATAAATTTTATAAAAAATATATGTCATACTTTAAAATGCATAAAAGAGTACATTATTAGAACATATTGTAAAATAGCTTGAACTTATTGAGAAACGATTAACAAAATACATAACATAACTAATAATAAATGCTAAATTTCAATAAAACAGATGTTAGTATGTTTCTCAGCAATGGAAGTTAGTTTAAAAATAAATTATTGAAACCTTGATAGTAACTATTATTTATATTAAAACATATTAAACTAAAAAACGCTGATTTCTGATAACATATTATAATAAAATAAATATCTAAACATGTTCTAAATTGTTTAAAACTTTTTTTTTATCCTTCCTACAGTCAGAGTCAGTCTAGTAATTGTTCATAAACTGTGGAATATAAATGAGAAATACCAAAAAGAGAAGTATCTTCAATATCTTTTTCTACTCTTTTCAAGCACTACAGCCTGTTGCGGGTCAAAGCTGCCTTAAATAGTTTTTGCCATCTAGTCCTATTCACAGCAAGGCTTTTCCAGTTTGCTTTAAAAGTGACATTTAAGTCCTTCTCCACAAGTTAAGCCACCTGATAAGTGATTTTCCTTGCTTTCTATTTCCCGCAGGATTTGTAAATGTGAGCTTTCTTACTGGGTTTTCAGATCTGAATAGGTGTATAAGCAATTGTGGTCTATAACATTAACAATATCAGGTTGCTTCTACTTATTATAACTTTCAAAAACAAGATTTCCTGCTATTATTCTCATGGATTTCACTAAAACATATTCCTAAGATTTTCCATTCAAACATCAATAATTTATTTTCATCTAATTTGGTTATTGGCCAGCACCTACTCACAAGAAACAGAACAGGTCAAACTAGCGTTTTATAGATGTTAATTTTTAATTTTAAACTTATATATTGAGAATTTAGTTGTTTTTTGAGGCCTTGAAATTCTTTGCTTGACATGGGAAGCCTGTTGTTTATCATGACGATCAAATTATTATTAGTAGTGATGATGGTTCCAAGATATTTAAACTGTGAAGTTCTTTCAAAGATACAATTCATCACAGTAGTAAGCGGCTGAGGATTAGGTATATTGTAGGAAGTCTCCATGAATTTTGTTTTATCTACATTCATTTTTAAGCCTAATTTATCAGCTTTGGCTTCTAATAAATTGAATGCTTCTGTGACAATGTAGGAGCAAATAAGGACACACACTTGAATTCATAAAGCCACTGCCACATAGAAGGCACGAAATATAAGTTATCACACCAATTATATTTAGTTGCTCCGGGAGGTAATCATTGTCCAACAACATACGAAAACAGACAATAACTGCCTTTTTAGATTTGGTAAATGAGAAGGAATCCTGTTTTCATATTATAATATTTACTTTCAATTTTATCCACTGCAATATCACTAGAACAGAGTTTCCTGATGGCACAGAGTTGGTCTTGATCAATTATTAATAAGTTTGGCAAGGAAAGGGGAAAATGATACAGTGATATTATATTAAGAATCTACAACTGACTGACAGCCCAGAGGCCAAATATGGTCACCGCCATCAGAGCATTTCTTTAAAAAACAGAAACTTTTTAATTAAGTTTGGAAGAACATCTAAGGAAATTAAAATATTTAAAGAAACTTTCTTCAAAACCAATGCAGTCAAAGAGTTTGTTTTAAAAACAAATAATTTAATTCATGCACAGTCAAAACTACAAAAAGCGTACTTCCAGACATGCGTCGAAGATTAGCATTAACTTAGTTTTGTTGAGAGAAAAACATAAGTACAACATTTTTAAATGTTTCTATATTGAAAGGTTTTATAAATGCTTTCGAGAATTTTTAATTTAATTCAGAATGTTGCCTACACGTATTTTAAGAAATATATGTAGGCATTTACACTTAAAAAGCAGAGGAACTTGTGTCAGCTTTACTATTTTTTTATAACTTTATAAGTTCTACTATTTTTATATTGTTTTAGTCAGTATTTTGCTAAACACAGTTAACTTTCAAAGGAATAATTTAAATTTTGTTCAATCGGATAAAACAATTCCATACATTGATATAGCTTTAAATGTATCAATTATTTATATTGGTTACTATCCTATCAAGAAATTTGTACATCACTATTTTATACAGTAGCAAAACACTTTACAGCGATGAAAATATCTCACCATATGTTCAGATTTTTCAGCCTTATCCTTGATGTCCTTTATACGAGCAAAAAGTTGCTTAATTGCCTTTTGAGCTTCTTCTAATGCTTGTCTGCCATCTTGACCAACACTTGTCTGACCTCTGACAACAGAGCGTATCTCATCATCCAGTTGCCTATAATTTTTTTTATTTATAAAAAACGTTAATTCTAAATATTCTGCCAAAAAAAAAATTGTTGGAGGTACTTATCTGTTTTGGAGGAATGAAAAATCTATTATCACAGCACACATATTAGCACATTAGGTACTTTATACAACAATTCTTGTAGTACTTATTACTATAATTAATTAAACATCACTGGCCTCAATAATAGTTTAGCAATTTTTTATGATCCCCGAAATGGATAAGTACCTGATATTTTGCTGCGCAATACAAGTACTACTAAGTGAAACATTTGATAATATATTTTAAGAATTATATAATTTTATTTTACTTGATACATCGCAAAATATAAGATACAAATAATAAAATAAAATATATTTCACTAAAGAAATATAAATAGAACATAAATTACGAACCTTTTTTTTCAAATCTTCGCTCGAATTTATATCTCTGTAAATGCATGTGTCTTTTGTCTTTTTTTAAAAGATAAAAAGTAAGGGGAAAAATCCAAAATGGTAATGCCAAAACATTTAAGACAATTATTAACTAAGAGGACTTTGAAAATATATAATTTTTAGAATACCCTATTGTTGATAAACTTATAAAACAAATTATAATTAAGTAAATTATAAGAACATTATATATTATTGAGGCACAATAAAACCATCTGCATAAAATTAAAAGTTTATGATGTTTTAAAAAACTTACTGCTAAATATTCATTCATTTTACCACTTCTCATTTGTAAATATCAATTAAAATTTAAAAGCTTTTAAAATAGAAGGCATTTATAATAGAAAAGTATTTAAAGTAGATTACAGTTATGAAAAGTAACATAACAGTAAGAAATTTATATTACAGCCTTCTGTTAATTTTGGCAATATTTCTTTAATTTCATGAATATTCAGAACTATCTATTGACACAAATGCGTAAATTTTAAAAAGGGTGGAAATTTATAGGACAAGTAGTATTCTACTGTTTTTCACTATCAATAATTATATTTCAAATATAATTTATAAATGGCTAACCATATATGCAACTGGAAGTGATCATCCTTTCCATGAATTAAAAAATAGTCATTAAGAGATGTCATGACTCATTAGAATTGTAACATTGGACTGCAAAAAAAATTACTAGAAATATTTGCCACAAAATGCACCATGTATTACTAAAATTACATAAAAAAAAAAATTTTGTTTTGTCACTTAGATGTAATATGTCACTTAGTTTTGTTACATGAGATAGATGTAATATTTGGTTTTATCCTCTTGGAAACTGAAGAGTTTTCCCTTTATTACAACCCATTTTTCAAATTATCTTTCAAATATTTGTTCATTGGGCTATTGAAAAAATCAAAAATATCCACTTGCATATATACTTTCTAACCATCCTTTTTCAAGAGACTCAATCACATAAATGTGCTATTTCTATGTAGAACACTACATTATAATGGTAATGTTTAAAATTCTAGACTACAAGAACTATAACACCAGCCAAGCTTCTTGTTTTCTTACTTTACCTGCCTAAAATTCATAGCAAACGCAATAATGAATGAGAAAGTATTGGCAATGCAACTTTTTATTCATAATTTTCTTTCTCACCTCTGTTCTATGTTTGTTAAATATAAACCCAGGAAAAATGCTAAAAAAGTTTTTTAATAATAAGCAGCTTATTTTTCATTAATAGGAAGTTGTGTTGCAAAACCACTTCTAAATTTTTTGCAATCCCACTTCTGAATTTGTTGTAAACTATACCATTATGTCAGATGTCGATTAGCTCGGTTAGGGGAGGAGGAAGTAAGAGTTTGATTATTTTAGCATATTAATAATTTATTTACAAACAATATTTACAGACATCAGTAATTTCATCATTCTTCAGATCAGGCTCATTTCGTGCACGCACCTGCGCTCTCTCTACACATAATTGCTACTGTCATCTAGTGGCCAATCACTTTCTTTTTAAACCTTAATAAAATTAAATCTTAGTGTTAACAGTTGTTAGGTCAATCTTAATGTTTCAAAATTAAGTTGATGAGGTGAAAAATTGGAGCCCTTATAAATCAATCTTTGAAGGTGAGGCCCACTCTCTGTCTCTCATTTAGGTTTCACAGTAAAATTAATAATGCTAAAGATTTAAAAATTAGATTTCTCTTTCGACCATCATCAACTCTTCAAACAATTTAAAAAAGAGAAACTAGTTTGGCTGCAAGTTTAAAATTCCAAAAGAGTGCATTTGAAAGTTCATTACATCACCATTTAATCTAACTCAAAAAAAGGGGGAGAGAAATAAATATGTTCTACCTTATCTTCATTTTCATTCGACCAGTAACATCATCAATATTAGATAATGACTGTTCAGTTGGGAACAGTTTATTGATATAATCAACAGCATTAAAATCAGGATGATCTAAAGGGTCTGTGCTTGGAAGCACCTACAAAGTAAAGAATTATTTTAAAGAATGTATCACCAATAATAATAAAAATGAAAAAAAAAGTTAGCATGCAATTAAGTGTAAAAGTATGTTAGTAAAGATATATTTACTAAGTAAAACATTGAAATTTGTACTTAAAAATAACCAAATTTTAAAATTTACATAGGTATTACTGAAATTTTAATCATAGCTAGTATATCAAAATTCTAAAATCCTGATAGGTCAAAATCGTATTTTTTGTAATTATGTACATTCATATAACCAATAAGAAAATATAGAGGTAATTGCAATTACAGAGCATTGTGTAGACAACTTCAAAAAATAACTATTTTTCTTTACAAGTTTTACTTTATTTATAATCTTGTTATGAATATAATCAAAGTTTTTAACTAAATTTAATTGTAGATAATGCAGGTAATGTAATCAAGTAGATTATATAATGATGTACAATTAATATTACTTGTTCAATAGCATTTTGAACTTCAGCAGGAAATTCAATTTGGCTATTCAGATTATCATCTTCAATCAAATCATCATTAAAATCCATATTTTAATTCATTAACTTGACACAAAGAAAAGTAGCCAGAAAAGTTTCATCAGTAACTCTGAAATAGTTCAAAATGTTTAATGACGGAAAGAAATAAGTTTTATAATAAGCAGTGAAAAACAAATAACTCAGAACCAAAATTACTTTAATAGTTTCATAGGTATGTTTTAAATTATCACAAAATACAATTCGATTAATACCTATAGAAAGAAAGATTTTTCAACAAAAAAAATACATTCAGCTGATTTAGCTTTAAAAAAGTTATGTCCGATAAAATGTATCATGCTTTAAACTGATTTAGAAAATTTTATTCATACAAATGGAGTATATTTTATAGATTTTAAATCAGAGATGAAAACCAAAACAAACTACCAGGAATGCATTTAAAAATTCTAAATTGACTGATCTAATAACAGTAATAGTCACACTTGCAAAAACAAGTTGAGAGGTGAATTGTTCGACTAAAACTTTATTGAGAGGCCATTTCTTACTCCCACTTATACGCACTCGATTGAAATTTTCATCAAATAATAAGAAAGTATTATTATTATTAAGTAAATCCTAGTTTCAAATTATATAGGATATATATGTAGTGCTCCTTCTCGTAACTCTTGAGCCGTGGCCTTTAATTTATCATAATATTGCAGTCATATTTTAATATCGTTTTCTATAAGGATGACAACATAACGAATTTTCTAAGCTTTTATTGAGGAAAGAATAAGGAAATCTATTTACAATTTATATACAATTGGAGCAGAGCTCCGGGACACAACTTTATACTTCCATTTCCAAAAGATAAGTGTACACTTTTTTAAGTGTTCCATACATAATTTCGTTCATGTCATGTGATCCATAAAATCCAGACTCTTTGTTAAGACCAGATGGAGATGAATTAATATCTCAATATAGTTCTTGATTTTAATAGGAATTCGGCCTCTTTAAGATAGTCTACTGCGCGGTATGGACTCATTTTATAAATAAAGATTTTATCGCTATTCAATTAAACTTAAAATATATGTGGATAGCTAAATTAAGTAGGTGAAAGAGATTATTTAATGTTCTCATAAACCAGATAAGCTTATCTGCAGATAAGATATAATTCTTTTTAAGTTTAGTCTCAAAAGATCCCTTTAATTTTATTAAGCTAGTATTTTAGATGTTACATATATATATAAACATTGATTAATCACTAAAATTAAATGCCTAATTTAGAACTACATTTCACATCATAATATAAAAAGCGAAGAAATACAGATATTTTAACAAATATGTTATGAAGAATGTTCAAATTGAGCAATATCATTGTAGGTCTTCATGAAATGCTTATTTTAATCAATAGTACTGAACTTTTAATTATAGGTCAGGCAATAATAAACATAAGTTGTCACGCAAGATAATTAAATCAGAGATATAAATTAGAATACATTTTTATTGGCAATGACGTGTCTTAATATAATAAAAGAGGAAAAAAAAGCCGGACCACACATTTTCAACAGAAGAAGAGTTAACATTTTGTTACATATTGTCATTGATATCGTTATTATTTAGCCTGTAAAAAAGTTTGCACGTATTTTAAATTTGTAAGAGTTTCTAATTTACCCAAGCCAGTGATCTATATTTACATTTATTATGCTCTAATTAATAACATTCAAGAGAATGTTTAAAATTAACATTCCGAAACTTCATTACAGCCAAGTTATTTGTTTTGTTCCAATCATTTCGTGTTGATTTTCATGAAATACGTTACCTGCTGTCTATTTCTGCGAAATAAAGATCTACCGAAGTTGGTAAAGAGAACCCTGCTTATTGTTAGCCTCAAAATTAAGGGGATGCACGGATGAATGTGTGATGACTGATTGGTGGCAGCAAGAACGGGAATGCGAATTGTTGTTGTTGTTGTTGTTAATTTACGTCACACTAGAGCTGCACAATGGGCTATTGGCGACGGTCTGGGAAACATCCCGGAGGATGATCCGAAGACGTGCCATCACAATTTTGATCCTCTGCGGAGGGGATGGCACCCCCGCTTCGGTAGCCCGACGACCTGCGCGCGAAGTCGAGCACTTTACGGTAGCACAGTTTAACGAGGACCAATACCGCACACCCTCGGTCCCTACGCAGACTGATCCAAGTGGTCACCCACCCGCACACTGACCGTAGCCAGTGATGCTTGACTTCGGTGATCTGCTGGGAACCGTGTCTTAACGATCAGTCCACTGCGGGACCCGGAATGCGAATTGCGAACAAGTCAATGCGATTCGCGCATGTTCGTCTGACATACTTTTTAAACATTCTCATGGTGAGTTCCCGTATGATGAGTTTTAGGCATGAAAACATTTTTCACCAATAAAGTTCTCATTCTCACTCGACGGCAATTTGAAGTGCGTAAACCACATTCAAAGAGAAAATGGCTCTTAACAAAAATAAATTATTCTATAAAGGGGCACTCTCACCGAATGTTTCTATCACAGTTGGGGAAATATAAGAATCTGAGTGGTGAGTTTTCAGTGGGAAAATATATGTACTAATCAGGTGCTCATATTTCCTCGAAGGAGTGGGAACCATGCTCATTGAAAATTATCCTTAACTAAATTTCCGATCACCTCCGATTGCCGTCGAGGAGGAATGAGGTGATGCTACGTCTTCCTGCAAAAAACTCACCAATAATGCTCTCCGTTTCTTTTTTTTCTGCCTTGATCGGTAGTACGTGAGCCCTAGTTAGTGAGAATAACCCTTTGAAACTCAGCCCAAAACATTCACAATCAAATAACTCATACTGCCTTTACACTCACATTTAATAGATTTCCGGACCGGACCGAGCTAGCTAAAAACTTAAAGCCGCAGCCTTAACTGCTCAGCCGTCATAAAAACATACAAAATTAATTAATTAGAATTTGTTCGACTGCTTTATGTTCTTTGTGGAGGTATTGTGGAGGTATTGATTGCAGTATTATTATTATTGGTATTCAATAATATTTCTAACATATATTTTGCTCAGTTATATTTTATTCGGAACAAGCGTCAAAACTTTCAGTTGTTAAGAGATTCTAAAAACGGATAATGGAAAACGGAGAGTTCAAAGCACAAGCAGCTTTGAACTACCCACTTCCAATGAGCACGCTCTTCGATGAATAGTAAATTGTAAACCATCTTGCCATTTTTGGATTGTTTGCTTCGCTGACAGACACTATATTCGACTGTTACTTGAGCGAAGGTGGTGCACAGTGCATGTAAGACAATCTATTTGACCTACTCCAATCAGTCCTCCTTTGATATCACATTGTGGTGCTTTGCGTCGTGCAGTCATGAATGCCATTTGTCTTATCTTTGTTCTTGATTATGTTATGCTAATACTATTAGCCGGCAATGTGTTAAGCTCCTGATCACGGTTCAGTGAAGCGGTCTTCAAACGTTTGTCGTATATTTTTAGAGGCTCAAGATGGAAAAATCAATCCTTATCCTAGGAGTCATGTTTGAGAAGGCTGAAAGATTAGCGTAGATTTGTCTACTTGTATATGTTTTGTGGACGAGGATTACTATTACTAGATTGCTGATACGAAACTATTTCCGCTAAATTCGATAACTCAACTCAAGGTTAGATTTAACTCTTTCTTTTCTAACGCTTAACATTAATGTCAATATCAGTGATTGCATTTTTCTTTACATTGTTTTAAAAATAACTCATTTTAAAAATTCCTAATAGTTTAATTTAAAAAAATAAATTATAATAATTCCTTCTCTCCTCTTTTCAATTTTGCTCGGAAATCAAATTGGTTAAAATGTTACTAATGCCCCTTTTTCAACGATAATGATTTATTTTAGAAAACATTTTTTCTTCATTTCAACATTGGTTTAAAAGCTTATTTTCTAAACAATCACTAAACTTTTTGATGGGAAATTGCTTTCGAATGAAGTACCATTTAAAATATTCGTTAGAATTTGAGGTAAGTGATTGCATTTTGACCTACTTATTGACATTTTCTTTCTTTTTTTTTCACTGACAAACTAGTTCATATTTTTTTACTAACTAGTTCATATTACTTCATTTAAGACAGAATCTAAAAAATGTAATTATTTTTTTTCGAGTATACCCTGTAATAAGGTAAAGACGCCGCTAAAGAAATAAAATCGCAGAAAATGCATATTTTTTTTATTATTATATTGAATCAAAGACGACACTTTCATCAAATGACCACAACATCAAATGAAAAAAAATAATAATTATCGACAACCCCTAATTCCATATTCTTTGGCAACGTTCCTAGTGATAACAACCCTCTGTATGTCGCTAGGTCCTGCATAAATTTCAGTCACTCTTGCATCCCTGTATAATCTCTCTGCAGGCATGCCAGTTGTGTAACCCATCGCACCAAGGATCTGAATTGCCTACAAAGATAAGAATTTAAGTAATACTCGCATGTTTGGTTATCTTCAAAATGTTCTTAAAAAATCACAAATGAAGAAATTCGTTTCTTCTTATTGAAAAAAAAGTCATTCACATGGAAAAAAGGACATTTTAATTATCAAAACAACCACAACATGAACATTTAAGAGGTAAGTATCTGAGTTGACACCCTGTGAATCGGCTGGAATACCGGGCAGCACCCGGCATCACATAATTCAATGCGCACGTGCAAGTCAAGTCGTATCTTTGACGTCATTGCACAGAATCTCGTTTTCCTGACGTTGAAGGGAAAATGTCTAAAATTCCCTGGTAACGCATTTACAGTTATGGGAAATTGAGATTGCGCATTCCGACATTCTCCTAAAATTAAAAAAAAGAAAAAGCTCATTAGCGTCGGGAATTTTGGGCAATAGACTAAAATTCCCTGGCGGGTTATTATTCTGGTTAATCTATTAACTATTAATGATGATGAATGACCGTAATTCCAGCTTTTTCCACACTTTCATATAGGTTTTCTTGCATCAAAAAACATATTTTCCTTATGTTATTCAACGAGTAAAATATAGTGCAAAGCGGGGAAACTTGGATACAATTTTACCCAGCAGTTGAACGTTTGGAGGGATGAATAAGACAGTAATAATAAAAAGTTATATTCTTTCTTACTTAATACAGATATAGGCTTTCCTGCATCTAAATTATTTTGATGAAAAAAATAAAAAAATGCTTTATGCCAAAGAATTTTTCTTTCAGAAGAAAAATTATTAATTATATTTCACTGTTTACGAAAATACTACCTGATGAGTTACAAAGGTTGCTGTTTCAGATGCAGCGAGTTTCGCCATGGCAGCTTCCTGAAGAAGAAAAAAAATTATAATTTTGTCCTAAACAATTGAATAACAGCAAAAATACTATAATTCTTTCTTAAAACTCTTGGAAGTTGACTAATGATATTTACAATTCAGTTAGGGTGGACTAAACGATATAATTAAAAACTACAGTCTTACCGTGCTATGCGAATAGTGCCTGTTTTATCATAATTTATCTATAATAGAATATATATATAATATATATATATATATATTTAGATGATTTATAAATAAGGTTGAGAGGCTCCGGCCTAGGACTTCCCCATTTCTGGGGGCCCTCTAAATGCTACAAATATATTCTATTTATGTTTTTCCTAAAGAATTGTCTATTAGAAATATAAGTTAACAAAAATTGAAATAAGTATACGCTTAAATTTATTAATATATCGTAATTTACTCATGTTATAAATAATTTAAAAAATACTTTATAATTGAACTGAATGCAAATTTGGTTTAAAGTAGCAATCAGGGGGGCTCCCGTTAGTTCTGTGTCTAGGGCCATCGATTTTCTAGATTAGGCCCTGTATGCGAATGTTATAAAACAAATGCTCCAAAATTCATACGACTTCTAATTTGAAAAGAGCTAGAGGTTTTTTCCCCTGCTCTTACGCGTTAAAGTTTTTAAGTAAGAATACGCGTGATTCATTCGCTGATTAATGATGTTAATTAATACCTAAATTTTTTTCGTTCAAATTCTGCTGCAAGCATTTAAATTGCGCCCACTGAAATTTCGCTATGTTAGCAACTATTTTAAAATGGAGAGCTTCTTAGGAAGTAATATGTACAGTCCGCAAAAAAAAAAACGAATCACCCTGAATAACTTTCGTTCTAATGATCGGATTTTCACGAACTAAGTGTCAATCTTAATGGTTCCTGGGGGTGACCTCAAATATGCTAATTAATTAGTGCTAACTATTAATTAAGTTACGAAATCAGACACAAAAACGTACTTTCTCTGAATAAACATATA